TCCCTGAAAAGTTGTTGTGACTAAGGTCTAGGATGTCAAGCAAGGGAAGATTGCACACCTGATGGGGGACATGCCCGCTTAGAAAGTTGGATCGCAGTCGTAGGAAAAACAGCTCGGGTGCATTTGATCCTATCCATAAAGACATGTTTCCAGTTAATCTGTTGCCTCCAAGATCAATACTTCTCAGGCCAGTGCAATTTTTCCATATAGAAGAAGGAATTCTGCCCCCAAAATTGTTATCGTTCAGCTTTAATACAAGAAGTGACCTTGGGACTCCCATTGAACTTGGGATATTGCCAGATAGATTGTTGTGTCCAACATCTACAATCAATATTGTGGGCCACAAACTCCATGCTTGTGGGAATTCTCCAAATAATTGATTGTTTCTCAGGGAAATGATAGACAAACTTTGCATGTTACAAATGCTGGGGGGAATTATGCCTTTCAACTGATTATCAGAAAGATACAATCCTTGCAGTGTGGGCATCAGTTGGTCTAGATTTAAGGGGATTGGCCCTGAAAATGAATTGCTTTCAAGATTAAGGATGGAGGCATTAGCTGACAAGAGTGGGAGTGGACCTTCAAACTGATTATGACTCAAATCAATATGATATAAATTTGGACATTTTAATAGGAGTGGAAGCCTCCCACTGATTTGATTGTAAGACAAATCCAAATATTTGAGTTGCGAAGATATCTTCAAGAACCACTCTTCTGGTATGGCATCCGAGATTCCAGTACTATGAAGGGTAACATCGAATAATTCAGTTTGAGATTGAAGCCATACAGGAAAGGCAGGACCTACACTGCAATTTGTAATGCCAATTGTGTAGAGCTTGAAAGGAGGAACCCACTCATAAGTAATATTGAAAATGAGTGACATAGGTCGATATGTGGACACATCGATAGATCGTAATCTTGTCAGATTCATGAAATGAGATTCTGTTAAATTGCCTTCCCATGAATTCCCATACAAGGCTAGGTGAACTAGCTCAGACAGTTGTCCCAAACTTTCTGGAACAGATCCATTCATATGGTTATAGCTGAGGTTTAGAGTTTTCAAGGATGACAGCTTTCCAATAGAATCTGGAATTAATCCCCAAAAGTAATTCGACTCAAGGTTAAGGTACTGCAACTTGTGTAACATCCCCAAGTTGGCAGGCAACTCATTTTCCAGCCTATTAGAAGACAAATCTAGTGATTCTAATACACTATCCGTACAATTTGAGAAACCACTCAAAAAAAGCTCTTGAATCCCCCCATCAAGTTCGTTGCTTTGAAGATTTAAAGTCTTTAGCTCACACAAATTTCCAATGAGTTCGGGAATTTGACCTTCGAGGGCATTATTAGATAAATCAAGGCCTTCCAGATATTTGAGGCTTGCAAATTCACGAGGAATGTGACCAGTGAAATAATTTAGACTCAGATTGAGTTTTCTGAGGCTTGTAAGATTAGAAAACCAGCTGGGTAAGGGAGAATTGATATTATTCATTGACATATCAAGTGTCGAAAGTGAGGTGATATTTATCTTCTGCATTGAGAGTGGAATATCTGTAATTTGGCATTCAGACAAATGCAACTCTAACAGTGAAGGAAGCATGTTGACTGCATGTAGCAAACTTACTCCTGTGCTGCCAAGATCGATTCTGTTGAGATTGAGGTATTTTAAGGAAGAGAGATTAGGAAGCCAATTCAAGTTTTTGGAAGATATTTTCAACCGGAAATTTCCACTGAGGTCAAGATAGTTCAAGTTTGAGAGGTTACCAAAGTTAAGAGGAATTTGTCCAACAAAAGATGCGAAGGAGATATCAAGATGTCGCAAACTCTTAAGCTGGCCAAAGAACTTAGGAAATGGAGCCTCTTCAAAATAGTTATTAGAAAGGTCAAGTGTTTCCAAGGATGACAAGTTTCCAATAAACTCTGGAATTTTAGCTGGATAAGATAATGCAAAGGAGAGGTTGAGATACCTCAAACTTTTATGCAGACCAATGAACTTAGAAAGTTCCAAACTATTCCGACTTAGATCTAGGTAATATAAATGTTTCAAGCTAAGCAAGGAAGGATTTATCTTACCCTCTAAGCAAGAGTGTTGATAAGCCAACTCGTCCCGGTGATATTCAGGATCAGACCATGTTGGAAATGGATATGTATTCCGAAGGTCCAGCTTTGCAACATGACCTGTGCGGTTGTTGCATGTTATCCCATTCCATAGACAGCAATCAAGACCCGCCCAAGAGGAAAGCCGACCGGAAGGATCAGTTACATCTTTTTTGAAGCTCAGAAGTGCCTGCCTTTCTTCCTCCATGCATGATTTCACACTGCCTGGAAGTCCATCGACCAAACAGAGTTTAGTAGTGCTCTGCAGATATGAAGAGGCCAAAAACAAATAGAGCAAATGGTGAGCAATTTTGAGATGAATGCTAGGATTGAAGTTTGCACGGCAGCTATCCATTGTACAAAGCTTTCTTTGTTGCAGATGGATACTGATTGCATGCAAAGTGAAATTACATGTAGCAGAAAGCAGCTCATAAAATTATTTTGAAGTCAATGGTGTCCAAATTCCAAGTCTTAAGCAAGTCCACCATGTCCCCACACAAGTAGTGGAGTTGATGCTTTTTCTTTGTTTACTTTTTCTGCAGATGGCCGCAGAGCACAGTAAGTAATATTCATATTAAAATTTTCCAAATTCCAAGTCTTCTTGACTTTGGTAGCCAAAGCAATAATGGTAGGATTATTGATTATAAATTTTCTTGACTTTGGTAGCCAAAGCAATAAGTTATTGTGGTTGCCAAGAAGCCTGAAATGCTACCGTGTGAGACAGGTAATGTCTTGTTCCGAGAAATTTTAACAAAACGTGTTTGGACCTTTCTCTGCATGCAATCCTTACTCTTTAAATTTTTTTTCTTTTTTTAAAGTGAATCAACACTTCATTGATAAGAGCACAATGAGAGCTTACAAAGGCTAACTATGCTTAGGAGAAACCAGGCCAACCGTGAAACAAAGCAAATAAGAGGCAGGACCTCTTAGGATTCAGAACCAAACAACAATGAAAACAAGCAGATGCCCAAATGCAGAGATCTTTTTTCCAATCCAAACGTCCTTTGCAGCTGAGCCAATTTAAATGCAATTGCTAGTGATATACCTTATCTTTGATGTCATCAAAAAATTGAAAATAAGTATACCTCCGTGACTTCTTTAGGAGTAATGTGCCACAAACAACCCAAAAGCCTACGACAAAGCCGAGTATCATGCTCACATAGAACCATAACACTCCATTATCATTTCCCTCTTCAATATTGTCTTTAGCTTCCTTGGTAGTGGAAGTATCATCTCCCGAAAATAAGCTTTTAAATACTAGTGTTTTGGAGTTGTGGATCCTGAATTTTTTAGTGCAAACATGTCACACCTTATGTACCTTCAAACTTATAATTAATTTTTATATGATATGATTACATATTGTGGAAATTTGTCTTGAATTGAAGCCCATCAGTTTGAGCCTTTTGTTTTTGCAAAGGCCAATGGCACACAGCTTTCGCAAGTGGTTTGAAATCAGCCATACATAACATCCATCTCTTTCTCATTTGAAATGAGTGTGGCACCACAAATTTGTGAAGGAGAGCAAATCTCTTTCTCCTGTTTTGGTTGTGGTGCTGCACCATTTGTTTAAGAGAAACAGAGGAGGCCACACTATTTTGAAGAGAAAACTCGTCTGATCACGGTGTCTTGTTTTCTGTGTAAGAGAGTGAGGTGAGCTGCTACTTCATAAGAGAATCTTCTCTTTGTCTTAATGTAGGTTGCTGCAATTTGAGTAAGGAGAGAGATAAGCTCTCTTTGGTTCGTTGTACAGCAGCTGCGCATTTGAGTTAATTCTCCTCTTTGGTCCCCCACAGAAACCAGGCCAATGGTTTCCAAATTCCAAGTCCTTAGCACAATTTCTTGACCTTGGTTGCCAAAGCAAGTCCACCATCCCCACACAAGTAGTGGAGCTGAGATGGATGTAATAAATGAACGTTTTCGGAATTCCAAGTCCTCTGCCAATTTTTCAAATTTGCTAGTCCCAGTCAGCTAGGTGCCCACGTTGATACATTTTCTTGACTTCCGTAGCCAAAGCAATAACGGTAGCCTACCATTGGTAGGATTATTGGTTGGTTGTAAATTTTTTTGACTTTGGTCGCCAGAGCAATAATGTAAATTGTGGTAGCTAAAAAGCCTGCAACGTTAACATGTGAGACAGGCAATGTCTTGTTCTGAGAAATTTTAACAAAACTTTATTAATAAGAGCACAACGAGAGCTTACAAAGGCTAACAATTTCTAGGAGAAACCAGGCCGATCGTGAAACAAAGCAAAGAAACAGGGTCTCTTAGGTGCCAGAACCAAACAACAAAGGCAAGCAGAAGCCCAAATGCAGAGGTTCAAACACCTCAAAACTAGCCTTTTCTTTTCCAATCAAAACATCCTTTACAAATGAGCCAATTTCAATGCAATTGTTACTGACATTTATCTTTGATGTCGTCGAAAAATTGAAAATAGGCACACCTCCATGATTTCTTTAGGAGTAATGTTGGGAGGATTCGTGGATTATTTTACTACCTATAGTGTAGTACTATATATTCGTATTCTACCGGTACGTTTGCATCGCATGTTTAGGCTTCGTATGAAATTTGTATTTTACATTGTAACAAAGTTTTTGAAAGGCTTAGAGCTTGATTCTCCTATTCCCAAACGGTTTCTTCATCATCTCTTCGTATTCCCATGCATTGTCAGTATTGTATTAATAGATAAAATTAAGGGTTTGCTGATTTTATATTTATTAATTTATTATTATTTATAATTTTATCATGATCAGTAGCTAAAATCAAAAGCACACCAACAGCTTACAACAAACATTTGTTCGATACAACAAAATCAAATGAGGAACAAACTGTCCAACAAGGCCCAAATGCAAAGCCTGCAACACCTCCAAACTAAACAAACTAACCTATCTTTTCTTCTCCAATTATCAAGATTTCCTTTGCAAACGAGCCACTTTCAATGCAATTGCTAATGCCACTTTATCTTTTACACCGTCAAAGAATCGAAAATAGGCATACCTCCATGATGTCTTTAAGACTAATGTTCCACAAACACCCCAAAAGCCAACAATGAAGCCAAGTCCCAAGCTCACGTAGAACCAAACCACTCCTTTATCATCCTCATCATCTTCATTCTTGTCTTCTGGATCCTTGTTAGGAGTAATGCTGTCATCTCCCGGGCACTTAGTTGAAGGAGGAACCCCACACAATGATGGATTGCCTTTGTAAATGGACGAATTATTCTCGAGCACTTGGAGTTGGCTGCCCGAAGGAATTCTTCCACTCAAATTGTTAAAAGATAAATTTAAATGAGACAAGAAGGTTAGAGATGAAATGCTTTGGGGAATTTGTCCTGAAAGGTGGTTGTATGAGAGATCAAGAGTTTCCAGCAAATGTAAGTTCCCAATCTTGGAGGGAATGCTTCCACTTAATTGATTCATCGAAAGTTTAAAGTACCCAATCCATGAGGCTGATTATTCCTTCAGGTATTTCACCTTCTAAATTATTTGATGAGAGATCAATGCTATATACCAAATCCAAAGTCTTGTAGTAGTCAAGATCTTGGCCTTTCGACGTCATGGTCGTATGAGCTTCATAAATTTCTGACATATTTTCATTATTGGTGAGATCATCATAGAGGAGACATGTCATATTGTTCAAACAGTCTGGAATTGTCCCTGAAAAGTTGTTGCGGCCAAGGTCTAGGATATGAAGGGAGGGAAGATAGCACAACTGACGGGGGATATGTCCACTTAAAGAGTTGGATCGCAATCGTAGCATTGACAACTGGGGCATGTTTGAATCTGTCCATGAAGGTACATTTCCAGTGAGTTGGTTGCCTCCAAGATCAATGCCCATCACAAAAGAAGAATTTTTCAAGGAAGAAGGAATTTCTCCTCGAAAATTGTTGTCATTCATCTTTAATATAAGAAGAGAACTTGGGATACCCATTGAACTGGGGATATTACCAGAAAGACCGTTGTTGGCAACATCCACAACATACATTCTGCTCCACAAACTCCATGCTTGAGGGAATTCTCCATGCAACTGATTGCTCCTCAGGGAAAGGATTGAAAGACCTTCTATGTTGCAAATAGAAGGTGGAATAGTACCATTCAAATGATTCTCTGAAAGATACAATTCTTGCAAGTTGGGAAAAAGTTGGTCAACATTGGAGGGAATTGGCCCAAAAAACAAATTGCTTTCAAGACTAAGCACAGTGGCATTGGTGTACCAAATTGGGAGTGGTCCCTCAAATTGATTATGGCTCAAATCTATGAACTTTAAATTTGGAAATTTCAATTGGGATGGAAGCTTTCCCCTGATTTGGTTGTAAGATAAATCCAAATATATGACATGGGAATTATCTTCAAGAACCAGTCCTCTGGTATGGAATCCGAGATTCCAATACTTCGAAGGTAGATGGAAGATACTTCAGTTTGAAATTGAATCCAAAATGGAAAGCCAGGACCTACTTGACAGTTCTCAATGGAAATTCTGTCAAGCGTTGAAAGGAGGAATCCAATCATAAGCCACATTAAAACTGAGGGACAGAGGTTGCCCATGATTACTATAAGGTATACTAATCTTGTGAGATTGATGAAATGGGATTCTGTTAAAATGCCTTGCCATGAATTCCAAGACAGATCCAGGTGAGCTAGCTTAGAGAGATGTCCCAGACTTTCAGGAATGGACCCATTCATGTAGTTATGATGGAGTCCAAGATACTCTAAATTGTGTAGCATCCCTAAGGTTGCAGGCAATTCTCCTTCCAATCTATTAGAAGATAAATCTAGTGACTCCAATGTGTTGTTGGTACAATTTGTGAAACCTGTCAAAAGATCTCGAATGCCCCCGTCAAATTTGTTGCCGGCAAGACTTAAGATCTTTAGGTTGCACAAATTTCCAACGAATTTAGGGATTTGATCATGGAGGATATTGTAGGATAAATCAAGGTGTTCAAGAGATTTGAAGCTTGCTAATTCATGGGGAAAGGGACCACTGAAAGAATTCACGCTTAGATCAAGATTTCTGAGGCTAGTTAGATTAGAAATCCATTCGGAAAGTGAAGAATTAATTATATTATGTGAGATATCAAGGAGCAAAAGTGATGTGTGAGGTTAGTTGTCTGAAGTGAGAATGGAAGGCTTTGAATTCCACACGAACGCAAGTGCAACTCTACTAAGGAAGGAAGCTTGTTAACAACATTCAGCCAACCTACTCCTTGGCTGCCAAGGTCATGTCCTCCAAGATTAAGGTACTTTAGGAAAGAGAGATGAGGTAGCCAGCTCAAGTTTTTCGAAGATACTGGTGAAAACATGTTATTCCAACTGAGGTCAAGGTAATTCAAGTTTGACAAGTTACCAAGAAAAGGGGGAATCTCTCCCCCAAATGATGAAGCAGATAGGTTGAGATATTGCAAACTTTTAAGCTGCCCAAAAAACTTTGGAATGTGAATCTCATGAAAATTATTATTGCTTAGGTCAAGGTATTGTAAATGCTTCAAGCTAAGCAATGATGGATTTATCTTACCACCCAAGAAAGACCATTGATAAGTCACCTCGTCCCATACTTGATTATCATAGGATGGTACATATGGATTCTGAAGGTCCATCTTTGCAACATGACCCGTGTGATTTTCGCATAAAATCCCTCTCCACCAACAGCAATTTTGACCGACCCAAGAAGAAAGCCTGCCTGAGGGATCAGTAAGATCTTGTTTAAAGGTGAGAAGAGCACGCCTCTCTTCCTCGACGCATGATTTCACACAAGTTTGTAGGAACGAAGATGCCAAGAAGAAAAAGAGCAAATAGTGGAGAGTAACATTGAGGTGATATGCAGGGTTGAAGTTACCCATTTTTATGCAAAGCTTTCCTAATTTGTTGCATATGGCTTCTGAGCATAAGTAAATTTATAGGAAGCTATCAATATTGAAAACAAGGATGTCCATATTCAAAGTCCTCAACCCATTTTACTAGTTTTCTTGCTAGATTGGCAAATTAATTATTGGCATAAATAAGACTAAACCCTGCAAAGTTTTGGCATCAAGTCTTTGATAGGTGAATTAATAAATCCATTAGTGGGTGACTATTGAGAGAGACAAACAAGGGGCCAAGGACTCATTCTTAATAAATTTATAAGTACTCGTGTTCAAGGTAATAAAAAATCATTAACCGTGATTGGCATGAACTTGAAAACCAGTGAAAGAAATTTCTGGGTTATTCATGGTTGCAAATGTGTCAATGTGTTTGGGCGACAGTTTCTTCGCCAATAAACAATAGTTGCTAAGTCTTGCACTACTTAAAAATGATTGATTTGTAAAGGAATGCTACTCTCTGAATTTCCTTCTTTTTTTTGTTTGACGAACCATAGTTAGGGGAGCGGAGTTCGAACCTTGAACCTAGGGTAAAGTATATACCTCAACTTATAAAGTTTGCAAGTCTACTGATCAAGTACAAAATCCAAGCAGAAAATAAAAATGTTTACAGAACATGCAAGCAGAGTCTTTTAGCAGATGACTTACTTATTACATATTACAAGATATATAGAAGAAAGCAGCATCACGCATACAACTATATGAATTCACCAAATTTCTCGAAGTGTTTAAGCTTCAAAGAAATGTTTTTTTCCCAATCAAAATTTGTTTTGCAGATGACTAACTTTCAATGCAATTGTAACGCACGCTACCTTATCGAAAATAGGCATACCTCCATGACTTCTTTATGAGTAATGTGCCACAAACACCCCAGAAGCCTACAATGAAGCCGAGCATGATGCTGACATAGAACCAAAGCATTCCTTCATCACCTTCATCTTTGTTTTCTCCTGCCCCACTAGAAGGAAAAGGTAGTCTATTAGGTGTGTCGTCCCCCGGACACTTGGTTAAAAGAGGAAGGCCACAGAGTGATGGATTGCCCCCATAAATGGATGAGTCATCGAGCGTCTGGAGTTGGTTCCCCAAAGGAATTCTTCCACTCAAGTTGTTATAAGACAAGTTCACATGAGACAAGAATGTCAATGAGGAGAAACTCTGAGGAATTTGTCCGCAAAGGTGATTGTGTGAGAGGTCAAGACTTTCCAACCATCGTAAATTTCCAATCTTTGGGGGAATTCTTCCCCTTAATTGATTTCTTGACAAGTTCAAGGTCCCTAATGACATGAGGCTGGTTATTTCTTCAGGGATTTCACCTTCTAAATTATTTGATGAAAGATCAATGCTATATACCCATTCCAAAGCCGTCCTGTAATAAACGAGTTCACTTCCTTTTGACACAACTGAGGTTTGAACATCATAATATGTAGGCATGGTATAATTATTGTATGGAAAAACGGTCAGAGCAGTCAAATTCTCCAAACACTTGGGAATTGTCCCAGAAAAGTTGTTATCGCCAAGGTCTAGGATGTGAAGGTAGGGAAGATAGCACAACTGGTGGGGGATATGTCCACTTAACAAGTTGGATCGCAATCGTAGAGTAGACAACATGGACAAGTTTGATCCAATCCACCAAGGAACACTTCCAGTAAATTTGTTGCCTCCAAGATCAATGCTGCACAAAGATGTTGAATTTTTCAAACCAGAAGGAATTTTGCCGACAAAATTGTTGTTGTTCATCTTCAATATGATAAGAGAACTTGGGACACCCATTGAACTTGGAATATTGCCAGAGAGATTATTGTCTGCCACATCTACTACCATTATATTGTGCCACAGACTCCATGCTTGAGGGAATTCTCCACTTAACTGGTTCCTCCTTAGGGAGAGCATTGACAAGTTTTGCATGTTGCAAAGAGAGGCTGGAATAGCACCATTCAAATGATTCTCAGACAGATACAAAATTTCCAATTTGGGCATCAGTTGTCCAAAATCTAAGGGAATAGGCCCTGAAAATAAATTGCTTTGAAAATCGAGGATAGAGGCATTAGAAGATAAAAGTGGGAGTGGACCTTCAAAATGATTGTGACTCAAATCTATATGATATAAATATGGACATTTGAATTGAAATGGAAGCCTTCCATGGATTTGGTTGTAAGATAAATCCATATGTTGGAGTTTGGAAGATAACTTCAAGAACCATTCTTCTGGTATAGAGTCTGAGACTCCAGTGTTGTGAAGGGTGACATCAGATAGTTCGGTCTGCCATTGAAGCCATACAGAAAAAGCAGGACCAACTCTACAATTGGTAATGTCAATTGTGTAGAGCTTGAAAGGAGGAACCCATTCATAAGCCACACTGAAAATTAGTGACATAGGTTCGTCTGTGGACACATCGAGATGTCGCAATCTAGTGAGATTCATCAAATGTGTTTCTGTTACAATGCCTTTCCATGAATTCTGAGACAAACCCAGGTCAACTAACTCAGAAAGTTGCCCAAAACTTTCAGGAATGGACCCATACATGTTGTTACCTCGAAGGTTTAGAGTTTTCAAGGATGACAAGTTTCCAACAGAAGTTGGTATTGATCCCCAAAATGAGTTGCCTTCAAGGTGAAGATGCTGCAAGTTTGTTAGCACTCCTAAAGAGGCAGGTAATTCTGTTACAAACTTATTAATAGACAAATCTAGTGACTCTAGTCTATTATTGGTACAATTTGAGAAACCACTCAAAAGCTCTTGAATCCCCGCATCTAATGTGTTGTCCTCGAGACTTAAGAACTTTAGATTGCAAAAGTTTCCAATGAGTTTGGGAATTTTACCTTTCAGAAAATTATGAGACAAATCAAGGTGTTCCAAAGATTTGAGGCCTGCGAGTTCGCTTGGAAAATGACCACTGAAAGAAATGCCACTTAGATCAAGTTTTTTGAGGTTGGTAAGATTGAAAAAGCAATTGTGAATCCCTCCATCAGATGATGCAAATGAGATGTTGAGATATCTCAAACTTTGAAGTTGGCAAAGAAGGCTAATCCCTTGCAAGTTATTGTCACTCAGGTCTAGGTAGCTTAAGTGCTTCAAGCTGAGCAGAGATGAAGTTATCTTACCCCTCAAGAAAGACGCTTCATAAGCTGCCTCGTCCCGCTCTTCACCATAATCGCCACCGTAATCATCAAACAAGCGATCTTCATATGTGTTGCGGAGGTCAATCTTTGTAACACGACGACTGCTGTTGTCGCATGAAACTCCTTTCCAGTGGCAGCAATTGTGGCCAGCCCAAGAAGAGAGCCTACCGGAGGGATCGGTAAGATGCTGTTTAAAGCTAAGAAGTGCTTGCATCTCTTCCTGGAGGCATCCATCAACCAAACGAAGCTCAGTAAGGTGTAGACATGAAGAGGCCAAAGAGAAAAGGAGCAATAGTGAGCAATATTGGAGAGATAAGTATGGTTGAATAAGTTAGCATTGCACCTATCCATTACCATTATGCAAAGTTTTCTTAATTTGATGCATACAATACAAATACAAGTGAATTTATAGGAGGCCAGAAACAACGCGTAATGTTATAATGAGTGTTGAAATTGATGGTGTTGGAATTCAAAGCCCTCTCATTTGCTTTGACTTTTGTTGACCATTTTGCAAAGTTTAGTGGTGGAATTTATGTACACCCACTACCACTAATGTTTCATTGAATTTTACACATTAGTAGGATTAGCCACTTTCTAGTGGTAGAATTATATAATGAGGTTGTTAAGGCCCTTAGATAAGGATCTATCTTTTAATTATTGTATCAGGTTGGTTAGTCGTTAGTTAGTTTGATCCAACGATTGTAGTTGGTTAGTCGATAGTTAGTTTGATCTAACAATTTTATTTACAAGGCCATGTAGTTGGTTAGCTATTTGTGAGCCCAAACCCAATTAAAAGAAAGAAAAGTTAATCAATATTTCTTTTTTTTTAAATGGAAAAGTGAAACAGCTTTTGTCATTGATGGGAGGAAAACTGCATATGAAGCAGCTTTGTACACGAGATTAGCATGAAAAATAGCAAAAAGATTTTCGGCAAAATTAATCAATGACAGAAACCCAACAAATTTAAAATTAATTAATTAAAAAACCAACAACATTGAAAAGAAAAGAAAATTCTAGTTATTTTTTATCAAAGGCAAGCAGAGTTGGGGGTCCACAGACCAAGTCATGAGGCTCTTTAAAGTCGTCTGTACTGTACACCTCTCAGTCCGTGACCCAACAAAATGCCTCAAATTCAAAAACAAAACCCCCACCACCACCCTTGAGCCCAAGAACAACAACATCTCAGCTGCTTTGCCTCTGCTCATCAAAACGACAGCAAAGACATGGTGTGTCCTACAAAGCAAGGGCAGGTGGACTATCAAAAGGGTCCCACTGACTTTGGATGGAGAGGGCTCTCTCTCTCTCTCACTCTCTCAAATTTTTTTTGTTTTTATCATTTTTTTTTAATAAGTTTTACATTGTGGGGGAATAAAATACTAGTACTACTCGGAATCGCTGTCCACGCTCTCCATTCCCTTGAGCCCCCTTCGCTTTTGCTGCATATGCAAGCCACCCATAATCAACACAAATTAATTAGTGGACAACAAAATTATTTAGCTAATTAATTATGTAATAATCTATATGACTTATTCTCCATCATAATTAATTTTGTTTTTCACTTTTCACCATCATAATTATTATTATTCTCCACTTTAAGCACCCAATTATTCCCTCTAAGCAATAAAGTACTAGGGACAATTCATAATATTTCAGAAAATTTAGCACCAGAAAGGAAATTTTATTTGGCAAGAATGCGCAGTGCAGCAAATTACCTTCTTCACACATTTCTTCTCCCTGACCTCATAGCGATTCCTTGTCAAGTCAGACAGCCACATCCCTGGAAAACAATACTGCCAAAACCAAAACCACAACAACCCACAAAAAAATAAATGAATAAAAGTTGTTTCCAGTTAATACCCAGGAATTAAAAATTACATATGAATGCAGATAAAATTGGAAAACAATTATATATTTAATATACCTGGAGGGTTCTGTCAATGTTTTTGGCCCTTTTCTTGGGTCTCTGAGGGAGCTTTGTGCCTTTCATTGCAAGGAAATCATCTTCCTTCTCTTTTCTTGACAGGGCAAGATAAATTCTAGGCCACTCAACCACTTCATAGTTGACCTTATCTGCTGCTGCAACTGGTGCAGCACCATTAGCAGTGGCAGCTAATTGGTCCGATTGCAATGAAGCAGAATCAGCATGGTGCTGACGATCAACTTGCACAGAGGGTCCATTTGGCTTGTCATCTTTGGCTGATGACCTACCTGAGCAAGGAGGCAGCTTTCTGTCATTTTTCTCAGGAGGAGGAGATCTTTTCCCAGCCGAAGATCTAGAAACAGCTCGGCTGTTGCTGCCGCCAGTTGGGTTTCTTGATGGGGACCCATTAACCACAGCAGATCGATCTTCTAAATTCCTGGTCATGGCCAAAGAGGAGATGCAATAAATGGGTGAGCTAAGATGGATGAAGGTGGTGTTTGGTATTGCAGAAAAAAAAAAAGAAAAAAAAAAAAAGGGGGGTTTGGAGCCTTTCTACACTTCCCAGGAGGGCAGATAGATAAATCAGAGGGAAAAGGCGACAGAAAAAGACAGAATTTAATACTCACTTAAATGAAGAAAAGCATATGAACCTTACTATTTATGCATCCTTAATTTACTAAAATACTCTCACTATCTCCAAGAAAATCTAATCTAAATACTACAAATTCCAATAATAAAAAAGAAAAGAAAAAAGAAAAAGGGAAATTGGGGAGATGATTTTCAAAGAGATGAGATTGTGTTTTTCTGTCTTTTGAAGAAGAGGACAAAAGGGTAGCAAGGGGAATTTATGAACAAGATTATTCTAACCTACTGCCAAAAATGCAAAACAAAGCAAAACCCACAGGAAGCAAAACAGAGCATTTGAACTTGAAACTATTGGTCTTTTGATACCCACTAAATGAGACAAGGAGAAATAAAGCTGAGACTGAGACTCATGAGAGAGAGAGAGAGAGAGATGATTAATGAAATTGCATGCTATGTCAAGGGGTAAAAAGGTAAACTAGATGACAAATTATAAATAAAAAAGTGATCTTTCAACTTGGATTGAACAGCAGCAAGCGGCTAAACAAGAACATGGGTTTGTTGTACCAAAAGAACATGGCTTTTTGTAAATTAGATCTTGATCCAAAGATTCAACAGTTTCCCACACAGAACAAAACAAAACCTCAGCGTTCAGACCCAAATTGGAAAAAAATCCACAATAAATTCATAACATATATTGGGAAAATAGGGCATGGGGAGACTCAAAGAATGAAACCAGATTCAACCAATCGTACTAAAGACGATGACCCAAAAAGTAAAGACCACCGTAATTGGGGGAAAAGGACTTTAAATATTTTTGAAAAAAAACCAAGCTACCAACTGATCTTTTGGCCAAAAAAAAATCTACCAATTGATCTTCAGCAATAAAATTACAATATTCCGTAGTAAAAAAATTAAATAAAAACAAAATAATGAAAGAGGTTGGGATGTAGGTATATGGTACCTGCTAGGAAGCAACGCGGACGCTTCCTTTCTAAGTCTGCCATTGGAAAACGACGACGTTGCGGAGGAGGAAGAAAGGGGTGGAGGAGGAGGCGGCGGCGGCATAGACTTGTCTCTCCTCTGCAGCTTCACACCAGCTTGCCTTGCTTGAGCTGAGGAAGAAGACTCATCGGTCACTGCTCGGATCTCAGTTCTCGAGACTCTCGACCGCTTCTTATGGCCCCACTGCAACAACACATCGCCGGCGCCGCGGCTGGGGCTTGGGGTCCGGCTGGGGCTCTTGTCCTGCCGCTGGGTCGGGCTCCGGTGGTGGTTGTCGGAGTTGGGTGAAGTGGGTCGGGCTCCGAATTGGGATTGGGTCGGGTCTTGGGTTGTGGGTTGGGATCGGAATCTGAATGGTTTTGTGGGTTCTAAAGTTGAAACTGTGCTGGTTGTGAGAGTCTCTGTCAACCCTTCTTCTTTGGATATGGCTCTCATGGCTGGCTTCTTGCCATTGCTCAAAGGGACACAATCTGGGCTCACTCTCTGGTACCTGTAAAACACAATTCAACAGCAACCCATTAGCGAAATCCAAATGCAAATCTATTTATGCAGCTGAATTCATAACATCGAACAGCAATTCAATGTCAATTGGTAGCCATTACATGAACTATTCCTAACCCAGTACCCCAAATTTCTATCAAATAGCTCTTTGAAATGTTAATTTTCTATCACCAAACCAGGAAATGGCTTGGATGGTTATGTTACTGAAACAGAGGACGTAGCTCGAGATCTTAGATGAAATTTTTGAAGATGAAGCAAGGAAGTTAACAGGGAATTATCTAATCTCATTCACAATAGAGAACGGAACTGGTCAAAAAAAAGCTGGTTTGAATGTTGCGAAGGAGAGACCATTTTTCCGCTGCTAACAGCAAAGAGATGAATCTGAGGAATCAAAACAGGGAGCTCTGTTTCTATGGTAACTTTGGCATTTCTGCTTTGCCAACCAAATCCAATTGGAAACAGAGGCTGATTTCATAAACCCAAGTAAAAAAAATGGGACAGAGAGAGAAGATCTCATCCAGTAAACGATCGATTATTCAAAAGAGAGATAACAAAATTAAGCTTACGAAAACAAAAAGAAATGATGAAATCCGATCCCCAAGAATCAACCAACCAACAAACCAATCAATGAGTCAGGGTAATTTGTCGAGAGACGACAGACCACTCACCCATCAAACAAAACAAAAACCAAGAAAACGAAAAGGAGCAACAGGCAGACCTCATCATCGTCTGCTGAAAAATCCCACAAGTCAGGCTCACAAGTCACAACATTAACACCATCTCCGTGTGTAAATGAAATGAAGAATCTCTAAGTCAAATTATTATCAGAAAATAATGGGTTTTGTTTGTCAGGTTGTTCATCAACAATGACACGAAAAACGAAGCAGAAGCTGAGGAGCTATAGAGAGAGAGAGAGGGGCGCGGAGGAAGACAAGTCTAAAGTCTGTTGAAAGGATCAGACAGGAAGACAGAGAAGGGAGCTGTGATGCAGGGAAAACAGGCAGAACCCAAGTGGGCGATAACATAAATTTATATAGGGGTACTAGTTAAGCTCCTGGCTGGGGGAGGAGGCTAACAAGAGCACTTGCACTTGTACCAGTAGGTACTAGTAGCGTAGCGCTAGCCATTGGGGAAGCCTCGGACTTGGTCACTTGAGACACAGGGCTCAAGGTTCAGGGCTTCCAAAGTTATTTGGTTTTGGGCTTCTCAGTTTTTCATTTTTGGTTTGAGGCTTCTTAGTTTTCACCCAACCCAATTGGATCTATAGGGCACTCATTTTTCACACCCAAATTCAAGTTTTAGAGGCTTTCTATGGTAAAGATGTACGTTTTTTTCTTTTTCTTTTTTCCTTTGACAAATGCGAAATTTTAAACTAATCTAATATACAAAGAGGGGTTTCAAACTCGGCTACAATGAGGCAAGCACGCTATCTTGGTCAATTGTCCTAACTCACATTTGCGATATCTTTATCTGCCTGCCCCCTCCATGGCCTCCTTTTGTTTTTTTTTTTTTTTTTTTTTTTTTTTTTTTTTTTTTTTTAAAATTGCTTAGTTCTTTAATATTATAATATGTAGGTAACCTTGCAAAGGTGGTAGGTTTGTCACTGTAGGAGGCCCATTTAATTTTATAATATGTAGTAACCTTGCAAAGGGGTTTCAACCAAAAACAAAAACTTCTAAAGGGGGTAGATTTGTCACTATAGGAGGCCCTTTTAATTTCATTAAAACTTTGGCATTAAAACTTTGATCTGAAGAGCCGTTTTTAATAGGCTGGTCAAAAACAGTTACACAATACAAAATGCTGTGTCCACCACCAAAACAAAAGCAAAAAGCTATGTCACTAGCTCATCTGTAATGTGCTCATTATGCCAACCATCTTTGATCGCCAAGTTTTTTCTTGTTTGTTTTTTTTTTTTGTCTTCGCCAAAGAAACACTTGCATAAAATGGAGATAATATTGGTTTGCTATTCTCAACCAATAACGCTAAGACACGCATGATAACTTTTCGCCATAACATTGCATTATTGACTGGAAATAGCAAAATAGTTATATGACCCCGTTGCAACCAAATTTTTCTAAGCCCATAGATCTTATCAGTGGAAATAACTGCCAAGAAAACCAAGTGTCATGTTTTTTTGGCTGGGCTTAGTGCCGTTCGATATCTGTATAAACTCTTTCACAACATGATAAATATTCAAGTATCATCAATTGAATATTAGGATCCATGTGATATGAGTCTGACATTATAAGTTGGAATCTCAAAGTCCGAAAATTACATGCAATTCTTCGCTTGGTTGAGACAAAAATATGCACATGGGCGGCAAATAACAAGCATAAGTTATCTTGGGTCACAATCAAAATCAATCAAGGGGCAGTCTTCTGTTTATTCCAATTTTACAGGGTAAAATAAAACACAGAGCTGGCAGCACAAGCCTGCAGGGCTGTGATTTGAACTCTTCAATGTCTCCTAACGTGATCGAAGTCGAAGATACTATACGAAGTATGGTTCTCTCCTTGGGTTGAAATAGCTATGGCCTTTAAGCATATGGGTAGATGATGTACTGCATCCCAACACCAACTTACAGATCAGCGGACCTAGAAATAACACCAGAAGAAAGATTTATTTAGAACACAAGTAGAACAAGTAGTTCACATAACAATTTTTTCAGAGTTCATAAAAAAGTTTTGTGCAAGATACATGAGCTATATTTAGGAGATGTTATATCATCCTAGTAGTACAAACTAAAACCACGTGTAAATCAATTTGCCAACAAAAAGTCTCCAACTTCAAATAAAAAGAAACGTGGTACCACAATGAAAGTAGTGAAAGGGGTATCTCTAAGCAAATGGAGCCTTGAAGCAAAACAGAAAGTGAAATCAGATAATAGACAAGTTTTGGGATTGCTAAATGCATCATGAGTGAGGGCTTCAGATCTTCAGTATGATTGGGTAAAACAGCTAAACCTATTATCAATTTATGGAATAAACCAAGGACAGCTCCGGAATGCTTTTGTCTCCAGGAAGGCACAACAGAAATGTTCAGAAATGTTCAGAAATGTAGTTCATTAGCTGTCATATATACCCCTAGCAACAGGATCATGATCTGATCTTTTGGTCTTAAATCACGAGCCTAGTCATGAATCATGATCGAATTGATAGGCAGGAAGCCAGGATTGACAATAATGTTTTACTCATGGCCTCTGTTGCACCGATATGCCGGATTTTGGGGGTATGCTTGTATCCGATATGGCCCTGATACGATACGGCACCGATACGGTTCGATATGTACGCCACGTATCCTACTTTTTAGAGATTTGCTGTATCGGCGTATCGTATTGTATCGCCGTACCCATATCCGTATCGGTGCAACATAGCTCATGGCTATCAAGAATCAATTCTGAAACAAATTAGACATGTTTTGCTCATGGATTGATATTTCAGAGTGTTCCAAATAGACAATAATCAATGCTCAAAACAATCAGACATGTTTTAATGATGGGCTGATGTTTCAAAGCCTTCCAAGTAACTTTCAGAATACCAACCTATCCCACCAGACACCACCTACGATGTTTTAAGTCTTAACCCTCAAAAGGAACAGGAGGGTCTTAAAAATGACTTTACAAGAAGAACAATGACGTTACTGATGAAAGTTAGATGACTTTGTAATTGACAACATAGCATCATAGAGTAGGACAGTTTCTGGATCAACTTTACTTACTTAAGTTGCAAAACCAACCAGCTTTTTGGTTCTAGGTACAAAAACACATCATTATACAAGCATTTATCTGTCTGTTTCTCCCTTTTCCATTTGTTTCTATTTCTGCTCATAGATTTAGAAATTATCTGCTGAAGTATAGTTGGTCAGCTGGCCTAGCAGCATTCAGCTTCTTCACCATAGAAAAACAAAGATTTAGTTCTAAATTTCACTTTCCAATTTGTTAAATATTAAAGCGGCCCATTGGCAATACATGTTCTCAATTCAACTGCCTAAAAGGTATAGGACAGGACAAGAATACAGCAAAACTAGAATAATACAAAGATAAATAGACATGTGATCTAACAAGGTTATGGTTGATAACCTGTCCAAGTAGATACATAAAATGAATCTGGTCCATCTACCGGAAGAGCCTGGACACTGATCTCTTTGGTACCTTCCCTTCAAGCTTCAATCTTCGATATGCTTCTCTAATGTGGCATGGCCTGATTGGCCCAGATTCTTTCCTCTCTGTCATAACTATTCTGGCTGTAAAAGAACATAGATAGAGCCTCTTGGTAAGACATAAAGTGTTGAACCATTAAAGTACCTGTTACACTAAATTCTCTGGACGAAGCAATACACTCCTTTTTTTATTTGTTATATCAGAGTCCAAAGGGTGCAACTCGAAAGGGATCACAATGCTACAGTGACATAAAAATCTAACAATATTAACTCAAAAAATGTCATTTTTCATTTTTATTTAGTGAAATATGAAAATAGATAACATACCTGTTTCAACCAGTTCACCAACAAACATCTTTGCTATCCCTGACACTACAATTGTCATAGGCATAGAAATTTTTGGAGTTCCACTGATGCTACCTAACAACTGCATGCAAATAATGTACACAAATATTAATGCCAAAATGACTGCTTTCTACAAGTTTTGATGCAAATATGACAACTCTAGAAAAGTGCATTGCCAACCAAATTCCAATATGCAGCTAATCAGATCCAGAAATGCCTTCTACATGGAGAAATGATTAGGAAGCATACCCTTTTCATGTTGGATTTCTGAAACCCAGCTCTCCGAAATGACTCATACCTACTCATCTGTTCCTCCGAGAATCGTGATAAGATAGCCCTGAAAGATTATTCAGACCTATGAGTTTAAAAGGAGAAGACTAGTAATATATTACAGATGATATATGCTCATTACAACAAGCTCTCAAGGAAGCAAAGCATACAACTCCTAGAAAGAAATAGGATTCAAATTGATTTAAAGCCTACCTAGAACACTGCAAAGTACACAATCTAGTCTAAAAACCATCCATTCTTTACAAATTCTATTGTTTCAAACTGAGTTTTCATTGGAACCTACTTGGGCCCTTCATAGTCTAGTCTAGTTATCATCCCTTCATTCTTCCCCATGAATTTGTTCTATCAACTTGGAATATTTGTATTCATATGCAGCAAACAAGAGCATTACTGAAATGCAAAAATACAATTACCCAAGCAATTAAAAGACATTTAATTTCTTGAACAAAAGCTGAGCCATTAAATGGGTTTAAAGAAAAAGTAAGAAAGGAACGTACTGCATCTTGGCCATTTTGTCAGGGTCGCCAGTGGCAGAGAACTTGCCGAGCTCAACATCCATGTTCTCTTCATCTTCGTCGTCGTCATCATCTTTGTTGTGCTTGACTGTGGCCCGAGCAGAGGTAGAGGGCGCTGCTGTAGTAGCAGCAGGTGTTGTTCTTGCTGTAGTTACTGCTGTTGTTGGTAGTGGTGGTGGCGGTGCCGCTAATGGTGTGGCTGAGGAAGATGGGTCTTTGGAGCCAGGAGGAAGAAGAGGGTCGTCGTCTTCTTGGGTGTCGAGAGCGGTGCGTGCGGCATCAGGAGCCACGGGAGAATCTGGCGGCGAGTCTTCTTGCTCCTCAAACGCCGCTTCGAATGGGTCCTTGGATTGCTGCTTCATTCTCTCTCAATTCTCTCTGGTTTACTATCTAGATTCTTTCCCTTTCATTCTCTCATTCAAAACCAATCTTAAAAAGGTTTCCCCAAAATCAAAGAATTAAAATTTTTCTATAAAAAAATTATGTAGACCAAGTATCCGTGGTGCTGCTGCACAAAAAGGACAAAAGGCCATGTTTAGTATTCCTTTGGGTTTGGATCAAACTTGATGCTTTATGTGGGCCGTTTCGGCTTTCCTTATTTGGGCTTTTGTTTTTTTATTTCTTTGAATTGAATGAGTGGTTTTCCAAAAAATAAACAAATAGAAAGAAAAAAAATTTGATCCCTCAAAATTGTAGAATGGAACTGTTATTGAAATTCTGAGAAAGTCATCCCAGAAGGACACCATATTCTCCTTTGTGCTTCAACTGCGGTATCTTTTAAAAAAAAGTTTGAGAAGAAATTACATTGCTTAGAGACCCAATGGCCGGACTTTAATAAATTTTTCAAAGAGTTAGAAGATACAAATATATAAAATTTCGAACTTTCGTTTTTGCTTATTTTGATCGAGGGATATATAATATGTTGATTGAATAAGTAATGATCCGGTGCAGGAATTTTGGAATGTTAATAACAATTTCCTTATGCAAAAGAAGAATTTTATTGTATAAACATGTTAATCTTGTTACAACCATGTTACAACGATAGTACCTAATATTCCAAAGATGGATATTAATTTGGTTGTACATTGTATAGTGTCATTTCTAGTGTCATGTCAATGCTAAGTCAATTTTGGTAAACGAAAACTTTAGTTTAGTGATTTAGGATTAAAGGTGTAAGATGTGGAAGAGAAATGGCAGATGCAAACCTAGTTAGGTTTGAGACTACATGCGATGGTGATATCCTCAAAAATATCGACCAATATATTGCACTTAAGAGGTAGCCCATTGGTTTCTTGTTTAAAGTTAAAGAGATGATATAATATAAAGCAACTTTTATACAGATATGGTGATTCAAAGGCAGATCTGGTGATGCTAATACCATTCATTCATCCATATCTTCTTTCAAGTCACGTTCTTATTTGTTTGGTTTCTTCCATAATAAAATTGATTGGGTGTCGAACTAAAGAAAATTTATCTAAATAGGGAAAATAAAACAAAATATATGGAATATACAACGTAGTGCTGCTTCATTGACACTCCACCAAACCCAAATCGGTTTTTGTTTCTTTCTTATTATAACGAGTCAAGTAGCCATCAGAATTTGTCATCAACTTCGTGCTCTATTTGCATGTAGTAGACTAGTTCTTTAGTGCCCATCAATCCTCTTCAAACTCAAAAAAGACCCTAACAAAATGAGTTTCAAACTTGAATAGTTTAAGTTTTTTGGGATCAATGATTGTCTAGTATGGTATTAGAGCTCTGATTCTATGGGGTTTTAGGCTCAGAAACTCAAACCCTATTTTCGAAAGGGTGTTAGCTAGTGGTTTTCTAACGTTTTCAAGGAAATGCCTCCCCCATTAGACAAGTGTGAGATAATATATACCAAATTATTGTTCAAACATCTTGGAGAGTTGAATTTTGGTGACTTTAGAGGGTCATTATGAAGTCAAAGGATCTAGATAATAATTAATGTGGCTAAAAGGGACCAACTAGCAGGGAAGATTCCGCCGCTGATGATGATGATAATGGACCATTGTTGCATAAACCAGTACATCATCAAAAACGTGTACAAGCATGGAACAATCACCTTATTACATGAGCTCAGAGATCAGGTCACCATTTTGGGAGGAACAATGAGTGCTTATCTTTTTTCATATTTAAATCAATAAAAAAGAACTATAATAGCATTTCATTTGATTGAAGCAAAGCAATTTTACATGTCATTTTTGACTATTTTTCTGCTCTTTATGGTCCCATGGAGACATTGTCCATTATTATGGTCGCTCAAAACCAAAGCAACCTTATGAAATGTCCTCTGGTGTTCATCCCACTTGAGGCATCAACTTTGTGTATATATATTTCTATGTATAGATCAGCTCTAGAGTCCTTGATTTCAGGTGAAAAAAATGGAACAGTAAAATAAGCTTCCCAATATGCCATAGCCATATTCCAACACAAACCTGGCCTTTATTGCCTTCATAATTATGCTTCCTCCTAGAGAGTCCTTTGTCCTCCTAACTCATTGACCAAATAAAAATATGAAAAAGATTCAAACAGGTCCACAAAGAGAGAGAGAGAGAGAGAGAGAGAGAGAGAGAGAGAAGACATAGATTATTAAAGTGATGAATCCCAACATCTCCAAAATCAATCCATATGCTTTTTCTTTTTTCACGTTCTGGTCTAAAGTAAAAGGGGAAGGCGGAGGGGGCTCCTCCAGAATAATAATACTGGTACTTATTCCAAACAAAATAACAAAGGAAGATGGTCTAAAAGAACCCAATTAATGTGTCCACTTTAAAAGCAAAGAAAAGAATCATGGAGTTTTATCTGCTTCTCCCCCAAGTTGATCATGTCATTCTTTGGCTGATACTTAATCATCATTCAACTAAAAAAAGACAGTCTCATAGTCATTAACCTGTTTGCAGCCATCTAAGTACAAATGTGATGCAAGGAGCTTGTAGCTCAAGTGATTAAAAGCATTTATCCCTGTATCTGAGGTCCTAGGTTTGATTCCCCCTTCCCCCAATATCGCTTGTATAAAATATTTATAAAAAAAAAGTGCAAAAGTGATCCACGCAACACACACACATGAAGTTAAAATTTTATCCAAGCTTTTATTGATAAGCAAGCAACATTTTAGGAACAGTTGGTGTATTTTGAACAAGTCAAAGCTTTTCCTGAAGTTGCTTTGCACACAACATACACATAGAGTTAAAGTATCCCATCACATAGAGTTCACTGTTTTAATCACAGTAACAAAGTTAGAACAATATCATTGTCTTGTTATGTTTTTGGGATCAAGCCTATATTACATGTTAAATCATAGCTTAAGCATAATATGAACAGGAATGTGTATTATCAGATTAATCAGTTTTATGACCCCTAATCAATTTGGTTATGAGTTAGGTTGGTGAAGTGATTTCCTGCTTATGATCCCTACTTTAAATTTATCAGCTGGGTCATGGACCTCTCTTCAAGTCTTGAATATTCTGACTTCTGTTTTCTTTTTCTCAATCAGATTCAATAATAAGCAAAGTAAAGCAAGGGCAATTGTGTCATTCAGCTCCAAAGGTAAAGGGATTTTAAATATTGGTTGATCAAACGGTCTGTTGTTATGAATCTTTATATGCAAATGCATGAGCTGCTTTTGCTTTTCCTTTTTATAAAGTCGGAAGATGAAACCAAATATACTGTGGCAGAGAGAGCTTAAAAAAAATTGCAAGGCAAAGTTCCATATTTATAGCATCCAAGGTCTTTTCCCTCTCCATCTGTCTGGTGTCCACACTGTAAAATTAGAGTGCATATGAATGAAATGGTTGCTACTTTTCTTCAGCTAAACAAAAATAAGAGTTGGCTTCTCTAAAACCCTTCTTCTCTAATCCAAAAACCTTCCCATGGCCAGTTCTGCAATGAAGTTCGTCTTCCTCTCCTCCCTTCTTGTGTTCCTCACTTGTGTTCATTCTGTTTCTTCACATAATCTGTCTCTCAGAAGGCAGGCTTCAATCCTGGTTTCTGTCAAGCAATCTTTTGAAGCCTCAAATCCTTCTCTCAATAGCTGGAATGTATCAAACTACATGTTCCTCTGCTCTTGGGCTGGTATCCACTGTGACAACATGAACATATCAGTTGTTTCATTGGACATATCCAATTACAACCTCTCCGGTTCTCTTTCACCTGCAATCACAGAACTGAGAACCCTTGTCAATCTTTCAGTGTCAGGAAATGGATTTTCAGGCATTTTTCCGCCCGAAATTCACAAGCTAGCCAGGCTCCAATACCTTAACATATCCAACAATGGCTTCAGTGGAAACTTGAGCTGGGAATTTGCTCAGTTGAAGGAGCTCATATTGCTAGATGCTTACAACAATGATTTCAATGGCTCACTGCCATTAGGTGTCACTCAAATTCCCAAGCTGAAGCGCCTCGACTTTGGCGGGAATTACTTTAGTGGAAATATCCCTCCAAGTTATGGAAATATGGTGCAGCTCAATTATCTTTCAGTTGCAGGAAATGATCTGAGTGGTTTCATACCAAGTGAGCTTGGTAATCTTACTAACCTCAAGCAGCTTTTCTTGGGTTACTACAACGAATTCGAAGGCGGGATTCCACCTGAGATCGGTAAGCTGATCAATCTGTTCCATTTAGACCTTGCAAATTGTGGCTTGGAGGGACCAATCCCTCCAGAGCTGGGAAATCTAAAACAGCTAGACACTTTGTTCCTGCAAACAAATCAGCTCAGTGGTTCCATTCCAGCTCAACTGGGAAACTTGAGTAGCTTGAGGTCTCTTGATCTTTCAAACAATGCATTAACAGGAGATATCCCTGCTGAGTTCTCTGCTCTCCGTGAGCTTACCCTCTTGAACCTGTTCATCAACAAGTTTCATGGGGAGATTCCTCATGCCATTGCAGAGCTGCCCAAGTTGGAAGTCTTGAAGCTGTGGCATAACAATTTCACTGGAGCAATTCCTTCAAAGCTTGGCCAGAATGGTAAATTGATTGAGCTTGATCTGTCAAGTAATAAGCTCACTGGGGTGGTCCCAAAATCTCTTTGCTATGGAAGAAGGCTGAAGATCTTAATTCTGCTCAACAATTTTCTCTTTGGACCTCTGCCAGATGATCTTGGTAAATGTGACACTCTCGTAAGAGTGCGAATGGGGCAGAACTATCTGACCGGATCAATACCACAGGGGTTTCTTTACTTGCCAGAGCTCTCACTTGTAGAGCTACAGAACAATTATCTTACTGGACAGCTCCTGGAGGAAGCAAGCAAGGTACCCTCCAAACTTAGCCAGCTAAATCTGTCAAGCAATCGCTTATCGGGGCCACTTCCTACTTCTATTGGAAATTTCTCTAGCTTGCAGAATCTTCTATTAAGTGGAAACCAGTTTACCGGAGAAATTCCATCTGACATAGGCCGGTTGGTAAATGTTCTCAAGTTGGATTTTAGCAGAAACAATTTTTCTGGCAGAATCCCTCCGGAAGTTGGAAATTGTCTCTCACTGACTTATTTAGATTTAAGCCAAAACCAACTCACGGGTCCAGTCCCAGTTCAAATTGTTCAAATTCACATATTGAATTACTTCAACGTCTCTTGGAACCACTTAGACCAGAGCCTGCCAAGGGAACTTGGGTCCATGAAGAGCCTAACCTCTGCTGATTTTTCCCACAATAGCTTCTCTGGTTCAATACCACAAACAGGACAATACTTATTCTTTAACTCCACCTCCTTTGTAGGCAACCCTGAGCTCTGTAACTCTTCTGAAAAGCCATGCAACTACTCTTCAAGCTCACCATCAGAGGATCACAATCAAAACGGCACCAGGTCTCAAGTCCTCGGGAAGTTCAAGCTAGTCTTTGCTCTAGGACTCTTGCTATGTTCATTTGTGTTTGCAACCCTTGCAATCATAAAGACCAGAAAGGTGAGGAAAAAATCGAACTCATGGAAGCTCACAGCATTCCAAAAGCTAGAATTTGGAAGTGAAGACATTTTAGAGTGCATAAAGGAAAACAATGTTATAGGGAGAGGTGGAGCTGGGATTGTCTATAGAGGAACAATGTCCAGTGGAGAGCAAGTAGCTGTGAAGAAGCTTTTGGGCATTAACAAAGGCTCTTCTCATGATAATGGTCTCTCTGCAGAAATTCAGACGCTTGGTAAAATCCGACACCGAAACATTGTCAGATTGCTAGCATTTTGTTCAAATAAAGAGACCAATCTGCTTGTCTATGAGTACATGCCAAATGGAAGTTTAGGTGAAGTTTTGCATGGGAAAAGAGGAGGATATCTTAAGTGGGAGACTAGGGTGAACATAGCCATAGAAGCAGCAAAAGGCCTTTGTTACTTGCACCATGATTGTTCCCCTCTGATTCTTCACAGGGATGTTAAGTCCAACAACATTCTGCTAAACTCAGATTTTGAGGCTCATGTAGCAGATTTTGGGCTTGCCAAGTTCTTGCAAGACACTGGAACATCAGAATGCATGTCTGCAATTGCTGGCTCATATGGCTATATTGCTCCAGGTACTTCTTTTACCACATAGATACTATACTAATTTGAGTCATTTATTAAGTGTAATTTACTTCATTGAATTGAACAGGGAGACAATAGGCTAAGTAGGTCCATTTAGCTCAAAAGACCTACTTGATGCAGCACTTAGATAAAGTAATTAAGCATATTCCATGTGTCTCCTCTGACTTAGTGAAATAAGTCAGCCACCTTCAATAATACCAGGTTGCATGATTAGTTCAAAATTTTGATTTGTTCTGTTCAACTTGGTATTCAAACAGAGAACAGATTAATAGAAAATACCTTCTTTTTTTTGCATCCGCATAAATTCTGGCATATACATTCCTTTGGACCAAAGAAGTAACTAGTAGTTCCATATGGATTCCCAAAAGGGAAAAGGCTCCACTGACATAGGAATTTCTCCTTTTGCTTTTTATATTGCTCTACACACAGTAATGGGGAATGAGCTTTTGCATGTCTTGAAACCAAAAAAAAAAAAAAAAAAAAAAAAAAAAAATGGTTCCGCCCCATCAACCAAACCAACCTTTTTGACCAAAACCCATTGAACCCAAAATCATAGCAAGAACAAAATCCACATAACTCCAGAGCTGAGCATATACCCATTAAGAATCTTGATTGGGATCTAAGCTTTACTTTCCCTAAACCCTAGAAAGGAAGAGACATCTGTAAAGAATAACGCATAAACCCCAATTACCTTTTCCTTTTACACACACAGGCTATTGCTTTAGCCTTTACTTTGCTGTGGGAGGAGTAAAAAAAATATATTAGAAAAGTGGACATGTCATGTAGTTTCACTCAAATCTAACAAATCAATTTCAATTTTCTCACCCCTTTATTTTATACTATGGAAGTTTTCAATGAGCTAAATATTTTACTTTACCTCATGGAACAGAGTATGCCTACACATTGAGAGTTGATGAGAAAAGTGATGTGTACAGCTTTGGGGTGGTGCTATTGGAGCTCATTACAGGAAGAAGGCCAGTTGGTGGTTTTGGAGAAGAGGGTCTTGACATTGTTCAGTGGACCAAAATACAGACCAACTTACTCAAAGAAGGGGTGATAAAGATCCTAGATAAACGGCTAGACAGCGTTCCATTGGATGAAGCAATGCAGGTATTTTTTGTAGCAGTTTTATGTGTTCAAGAGCAGAGCGTGGAGAGACCAACCATGAGAGAAGTTGTTCAAATGCTTGCACAGGCAAAACTACCAAACACATTTCACATGCAATGAAGAATGGCTTCATGGAGCAACATTTTGGTGACCCAGAAACCAAAAAAAGAGAAAAGAAAAGTCATGGACATGTATAATAACAGATGATTTTTAGATCAAGTTGCGAGAATGGTTGTTAATGGTATAGCAGTAGCTAGCTGGGGCCATAGTATATAACAAGATTTTATGCTTCTTTTTTGAATTATTTTTGGGGTCTCTTTTATGCTTGGTTAAGATAGCATCTTTGCTCTGCGGTTGGTGTATTTGTTAGATTGCAGCTTCGCTTTGTTCTGGTCATCAATGGCATGCAAAAGTGAAGTGGTGAAGCGCACTGTAAAAGTGATATTGGTAATGGTTCGTTTGTATTATTGTGTCATCATCATAAACTCATGACCAAATGATGTGAGGTTTCCTTTTCTATACTGTTTAGATTTTGTACTTATTGGTTTGTACTGTTGTGATTTGCTAAATTTGACAAGGTTAAATTGAGGAACACACTGTGGGGCAGGAAGCCTGCCATTTACAAACCAATGCATTTCGGAGTCTGATCAGTCTTTTCTTCTTCTTCTTAGAGTTTGTTGTACCCTGTAAGGACTATGCTAAACCATAAACCCCTTCTTCTTATTACTAGTCAATTTCCTTACCAACATGTCACAGTGATAGCAACTTAGGAAGTGAATAGGGGTAACCAAAACAAAAATGAAATCTTTTAGAACAGACCGTATCATATATAATATTAAGTTGCAGACAAAGTTTGTGAAGATCCAAGCTGCAACAACAGTTGTAGGAACCAACAAAAATAACATTCTCAGTACTACTTGTGATTTCTGGACTTCGGTCTACCACGATTTGAGCTTCTTCCAAATCATTCTCCTTATTTAACACACCTTAATGACTTTATGTAGGACTTAAACAAAAGAACCTAGTCACATTAGGAATAGCACCTAAGGAAAAGGAAAAGGAGATTGGGGAATTTTAGGAAACAAATTAGGGCAAAATTAATTGATTTTTCCACATGTTCAACAGGTCACCATCTTTCTAGTTAGGTTACGCAATTTTGCCATTTTTCATTCAAGAATTCGTAAGGTTAAAAGGGAAAAACAAACGAAAACGTAAAGAAACAAAGAAAGCTGCAAACTTGGGTTGAGGGATTGTGATTGAAGCTGAGTTAAGGAGTCTCTACCTTGGTCAAAGACGAAGGATTTATGAATGCCCTGATTGAAATTGAGGTGGGTTCAGCTGTTGCTCTCTCTTTGACTCAACTTGATCTTCTCGTCTCTTCTTTTTTTGTCTTTGCCAAAGGGTTTATGAATGCTTGCTCGCTTTGAAACCACATTCAGCCCAATCGCCAAAAACCCAAAATCATAACGGAAAATCCATTGAACTCCAGAGAAGAAAAGACAATAGTCATATGGCCAAACATTTAGAAAGTGGTGTGCATAGCAACTGAATAAAAGTCTAATTATGTATAGTTTGATATAACGCAGAAAATTAGAAATAGCTCCTTCCATTAAGGAGATTTACAGAGTTGTCAAGGCTGCAGTCATAAGCGAGGACAAAAAGGCATAAGAAGATTCCAATGAAGAATAAATAGGTTCTTCCTTTGTGTGTGTGTTAACAGCACTGTTTTCCTGCAGAAAAGTAGGATTGAATCATACGTACAAATTGATTCACATTTACAAGCCAAGTTTCTTTGGCCTCGTATATGCAGAAGAGCCATGGTGCAAACCCGGCATTGAAATTCGCTGCTGCTGCTTGGATCTCTTTTCCCTCTCCAGCTTGCTTTCTTTCTCTGCCTCTGCTTGAGTCTTTCTCAAATTCCCCATTTCCTCCTCCATAGCTGTCTTCTCTTCCTTTCGTGTCTTCTTATGCTCCAACATTGACGTATCTGACTCCTTTACATAGAAGAACATGGGTCCCAACTCAGCCAACCATTGTGGCTCCACTGCTGTGGCACACTGCATATACTCTTTTGTTGTCAAAATCAATTCATGATAAACCACATACTCTGGAGTGCATCCCATACCATAAAGAGCACTGCTTGGGTGTAAATGGCATGGCATCCCAGTCCGGCAGTTTACATACTCCACCACACCCTTCAATCTTGCTGCGTTGTGAAAGTATGCGGAGCAAATAGCTTTTTTCACAATATCAGTATCAGGCCCACAGGATGAAATTGGGATTTTTAGTGTCTTCAGGATCTCTAGCAGCTGGGACCTCACCTCTCTAGCCTTTCTCAACCCTTTAACATGCAAAAAATGGTCATTGCACCAGTCTCCCTGATACTGCCGTTGTTTCCACTGCTGATAAACATTATACAGTGTTAAGTGGTCGGACTCTGGGATGGAGAATTTCTCCCGTGCAGCATCGCTCTCCTCTGCCCTATCTTTGGGCCTAAAAAATACTGACGGCACCGAAAGCATGGACACAATCGTCAAAACCTCATCTAAGCATTCCAGCTCTTCACCCATCAACAGCATCTTAGCAAGTGGAGGGTCCAATGGCAACTGTACTATTTTCCAGCCCAGATCAGTTAAGCGGCCCTGATTGTTAAGAGCACCCAACACCCACAACTGGTACATAGAATTGAGAATATTATCCTTGGGAGGTGGGTCCATGAAATCAAAATCTAGCAAGTTATCAACCTGAAGAGATTTGAGCAACAAGATCACATACCCAAGGTTGGTCCTCTGAATCTCTGGCACAGGATTAGGCAGCATTTCATTTCGGTATGCGTTCTTTGTGTACAGCCGATAACATGTTCCAGGCTCAGTTCTGCCAGCACGCCCAGCACGTTGGTTGGCAGCAGTCTGACTAATAGGAAATACTTGAAGAGCATCCATACACATTTTGGGGTTGTATACTTTCATTTTACAATAACCTGTGTCAATGACATACAGGATTCCATCTACTGTCAAAGATGTCTCAGCAATGTTGGTTGCTACAATGCATTTACGAACCCCATCTTCAGCTTTTTGGAATATCTTTGCTTGCAAGTCAGCAGGCAACTGTGAATATATAGGGAGTATCAAGAGTTTTGGCACCCGATTCTTTGAGGTGGAGATAAGTTGTTCCATCCGCTCTGAGAGGGCATAACAAGCTGCCTCAATCTCATCTTGGCCGGTCATGAAGATCAGGATGTCACCGTGAGTGCTGGTGATGTGAATAGTTATGGCCTTCTTCACTGCAGCTTCAACATAATCTTCACATGGGGATTCATTGTAGTTGATAGTTACAGGAAATGTTCTTCCAGGAATTTCAAAAATCGGTGCACTTCCAAAAAAAGTCTGGAATTTCTGAGCATCTAGTGTCGCAGATGTCACAATGAGCTTAAAATCACGACGTCGGGCAACCACTTTTTTCAAAATCCCCAGAAGCACATCCGTGTTTAGTGACCTTTCATGGGCTTCGTCCATCACAACTACGCGATACTTGTCAAGATCAGAATCTCTAAGTGTTTCACGCATAAGTACTCCATCAGTCATGTACTTAATTATGGTATTCGGTCCAGTCACATCCTCAAAACGAATAGCATAACCGACTTTCTCGCCAAGCTCAGTCTCCATCTCTTCACTAACTCTTTTTGCAACACTCATGGCTGCCACACGCCTTGGTTGGGTGCAAGCTACTATACCATTTACGGTGTATCCATCTTCATGCAGATATTGTGTCAGTTGAGTTGTCTTTCCAGAACCAGTTTCTCCAACAACAACAATAACTTGATTTTCTCGAATTACCTGTAGTAATTCATCCCTCACAGAATATATGGGCAAACACTGCCGTTGCTGTGAGATGGTTTTTGACTTTGCGAATTCACTCACAGCCTCCCCATTCTTCATATGCTGTTTAAACTTTGCATCTTCTTTGAAATTAATTTCACCATCCGTGCCTGTGGCAGCGGTATCTGTGCCAATCTGCTCTGCTGTTTTCTCAACACCAAGGATTTCACCTAGTTTGGAACCTGCAAGCTCCCAAAACCGTTGACGAGATTTATTCAAATTTTGCTTCTCATGGATTCTTCTAACTAGAGCAGACCCTTTGCGTGAAATTATAGCCATATCAGACGTGGGATCCTTTATTGGCATTACTGGCTCTGCTTGCTTGGTAAAAACAGCACTGTCATTCAGGAAAGGAGGCTTTAAATTTGTATCATGCACAAGAAGAGTAACTTTGTGTTCTTCTTCATCATCAATCTCAGTCTGTGCCTTAGTCGCACTAACAGCACCAGATCTCGAAAGTTGACTATCTTCCCACCGAGCATTATCAGCATTGAGCTGAGACATTTTTCTGCTCCGAGCAACGGTCATCTTAGTGCCATCTCTTCGAAGCAATCTTTTTGCCAACTCTGCTTCCTTCTTCTGATAAGAAGCATCATTTCCATAAAACAAAGATGAGCTATCAGTTGTATCAAACATTGCATTTCCTTCTTCTCTATCATACCATGCAACGTCAGAATTGTAATCCATCTCTTGACGCATGCTTTCTCTAATTTCGTATTTGTGTTCTTCATCCAAATCAGTCTTATCACCTTCTCCGTCCTTGAATGACTCTGAATTTTCTGAATAAACAGTAAGTTTATGGGAACCTGCACCATGTTTCGAACTTGAAGATTTGATTGAGTATCCAGAAGGAATTTCAACTGGCGAGAAATCCCATGGAGAAGCAGCAGAACCGGCTTGATGGCGCTTACTAGCATTAGAGTAACTAGAATGCCGTGGTGTATCTTGCCATCCCAATCTCCCATCATCCCAATCAGATGATCTGCCATGTTTCCTCATTGAACCTTCATATCTACTCTGCTTTCTTCCATATCCTCCGCCACATTGATCTTGTTCATATTGTCCACCAGATTTCCTTCTATGATAATAATCCTTACCATAATCACTACTATCATGTTGGTTTTCTATTCTCTCACTTATATAGCCTTCCCGTTTTGCATTAGCATTAGCAAAGACATGTAAACCAAAAGGAGATTTCTTCTCAGGAGGCTTATAAAAAACTCTATCATTCCCAGGAACATAAAATGCCCCACCACCACCACCACTCTTCTTGGGTTCCATTGTTACCTTCGTCTTGTCCATGGATTCAATCACAAACTCTCTCTTCTCTCCCCTTGTTTCCAAAAGAAAATCCCAAAACACAAATTCTACAGTAAGGAAATTGTTTTTACCTTATATCTTGCAACCCAAAAAATTGGGAAAGCTTAGGAAACAGAATTTGAGAAAAATTACTCAATTTTCCCACAGATGAAAACGTAAAGAAGCAAAGACAAAGGCAAAGACTTTTTTACCTGGTCAAAGAGAAAGGCTTTTTTGAATTGAACTTTGAGGTGAGCAGCTGTTGCTTCTCTTCGTCTCTTTGATGGGCAGATGCACGCAGACTCAAATTGCCAAAGTTCAAACTTTTCTCTGTTTCTAAGGCTATTCAAATACACGTCAACTTCTCCTACTGCTAAAGGACTTTTTCTTTTGAGGGATGTTAAAGGAAGCTAAAATATTACCTACCATCAAATATTTATTAAATTACCAATTTAAGGATACATCACCCTTGAAGTCTCTGTGTTCGAATCCTCTGATCACATCTATGCATAAAATTTAATATGTTTCAATTTTAACCGCTTCTAATTAAATTCTCAATCTAAAAGTCAACAAATCAAATGGGAACGAAGAAAACCCATTAAACCTTCAGAAAAACCTGCAAAAACCGTGGAATTTTCCACAGTATGATATGTGATCTAACCCAAGTCAGAGACTTTCCCACCAAACCCAATCCCCAGACCAAACCCAATCCCAAGGCTCTGGGTTTCAGAAACTAGGTGGGAGAATTCGACTATCAAAGTGGTTGTCATATAATTTAGTGCAAAATTTTGGGGTGACAATAGAGATATATAAGGAAAAAAAAACCTAATTTTGAAAAGAGAGAGAAAAAGCTAAGCAGGGGTATGTGGTATTGAAATTGATGGATGGTTTGGATCTTCAAAAGCTGTGTGTGTCCTCTGAGTGAAGAATCTGATGGGAAAGCATCCCAACACACCCCAATTGAAATTTCATTTTGTTGCAAGGACTTGGGAGAAATAAATAAAATCTTTGGGCCTTTGGGATAGCACAGCCCAAGTGGTGAAAACATGGGCCAGTTCAGAGGGAGAATCAGCTGTACCCGGAGCGCATGTGCCCTTCCTGTTCCCTCCGCATTATTCTGAGTTTTAGCTTTTAACTCTTCATCTTCTCCACTCTAGTCGGCTGCAACCTCCAGTTCCCGCTTTCACCTAGACGGAATAAATAAAGGAACTCCAAGAACCGTAAAAAGATTTCAAAGCAAGAAAAGGAAGAAGAAACCCACGAATCAGTTCTTGTTGTTTGATTTCTCAAGGTACTGACTTTTGTTTAATGTATTTCTTTTGGGCTTTTCTATTAAAGATGTCTCCTTTCTATCAATCACTTCTTTTGTAGTGCAATTTCATATATCAACTACTAAATCACTGCGTCATTGTACTTTATTTTGAATCTGAATTTTGGAATTCTTGAGGGATTCGTCCCTTCACTCATTGAACATTTGAGTTTGTTCTCAGGTTATTATTAAATTCAGATTTTGTTAAGTATCATACTTTGAAGTATTATTGCTGAGACTGAAAGTGTACTATGATTATTTAGAGTGTTCAAATACTATGAGTTGCTGCCCATTTTGTTCCGTGGTGAAGCTGATTTTGTGTGTTTTGCTTCTTTGGCACACACCAGAACTACCTAGAGCTGGAACCCAAAACAGATTCTTTGATTTCTGTCCAAACTACCAACCAAGGGAAGCAATGGAGTAATGGACAGGTAAGGTGGGTTTTAGCATTTGTTCCAATAATCATGCTCATGGATTTTGGTTTTGGTTGTTGGGTTTTTTTTGGTATCACATCAATCTTTACTCTCTCTTTTCCTGGAAACTACTTTGTTATGATAGGTCCCATACAAGATGTCCTCTAGAATCGCCCAAATCCGCCTTGTAAGCTCTCATCCAGAGGTTTATGAACCGTGTGATGATTCATTTGCTCTAGTAGATGCTCTTTTAGCAGATCGAAAGAACCTGTTAGAGCATCAACCAACATTGTGCCTGGAACTGGGTTGTGGCAGTGGCTATGTAATTACTTCTCTAGCTCTTATTGTTGGCCAGGAGGCACACTATATTGCAACTGATATCAACCCCCATGCAGTGAGGGTGACTCGTGAGACATTAGAAGCACATGGGGTTCATGCAGAGTTGATAACCACGAACATTGCATCAGGACTGGAGAAGCGTCTAGCAGGATTGGTTGATGTTATAGTTGTGAATCCGCCTTATGTGCCGACCCCTGAAGATGAAGTGGGTCGTGAAGGAATTGGCTCTGCTTGGGCCGGAGGGGAGAATGGCCGTAGCGTGATTGATAAGATACTGCCTGTTGCTGACAATCTTTTGTCGGAGAAGGGCTGGTTGTACTTGGTCACTCTTACAGAAAACAATCCCTCAGAGATATGCCTTCAAATGAAAGAAAAGGGCTATGCTTCCAGAATCATTGTCCAGAGATTGACAGAAGAAGAAAATCTACAAATCATCAAGTTCTGGCGGGATTTTGATTCTCAACTAGAAGCAAAGGGAATGGTAGCAAATAAAACAGTTTCTTCGAGGGTCATGGAGTCTTTGCTCTCTCAGTTCCATATAATGCCGTTTCTTAGAGGCAGTAACAAACAACAGTAGCTTATGGATAGCCAAGGGGCCAAAAAAACTAGTTTTCTAGCGTGTACATGATGGATAAATGGTTTTTGTCTAGTTTTTGTTCTCATCTTCTTCTGACTTTTGGAAACCATTGTTGGAATGTCAGATGCACACAATTGAATTATTCGGTGCTCTCCTGGGATTTGCTTGTATGAAAGTTCATTCTTTGCGTGAAAACTTGCAAATACTGGATTTATTTTTGTTCTTATTACTCTGCGTGTAATTCTTAGCAACAGTAATCTACATTTCATCATTTAGAATTTGTCTTTCTTCGAGTTTTTACGATTTCTACACTTATCAGTAATAGCACAAATTTGATCAAAATTGTTAATGAAGATCTTATTCTAATACCATTTAATTGTATTGGACATATGAAATAATTATTGTGTGATGCTTGAAGTTTTGCTGATGATTCTTTCTACACAAGTTGTCTAGGAATGCCAGGTGCAATTCATCAAAACAAACCTCAATTGCAAGAGAATACACGACTAAGGACATTCATTTGGTCCATTCTTTAGCAAGGGGTGTCCTTCCACAAAACATAGCAAATGACTAGAAGTCTGATTATGTATCTAACCTTTATAGAAATCGAGAAGTTGATTGATCCATATCACGTATCTATACAGAAAAATGATCCATAGCTCTTTCATTTACAGAGTTAACCAGCACATAATTACATTCAATTTCTCCCGCAATGCACTGAATGAACTGAGTCACCCAACATGCAAGCAAGATCACAAACAAGAGAGCTTTTTAGTCCTTTTTGCGTTAGTCTTGGGAACAGCTTCAGAAATCTCTCTGTTTCGTTTGGAGGCTGTAACTTTGTTGCCGGCAGTGCCTTCAGAACTTTTTCCCTGAACTTTTAGTGCCTCCTTAACAAAAACTTTTAACCTCCATAATGTGCACTCACTCTGTGTAGAGGGATGGAAGAATGAAAAGAAGACATATCTGAATTAGCATGACATAGCCAAATTAATTGAATAAGCTAAAATAGGATGGCTGATATTGCAGCATGCAACTCAAATGATTGCCAGATCACACCATAAACAAATAATGACCTGAGCATCAATGTCAAGATCCACTTCTTGCGCACTTGCTTGGAAGCTGGGGTTATTCTGAGCGACAATTGCCAGAGCCTTGCTGAGATCGTCAGGAGATAAATGGGTGAGAGCTGTCCCAAGTTTTCTCTTATCAACAGAAGACATTTTCCTAAATCAATACACAGTCAAAATAGATTCATCACAGATGCCAAAACAATCAATAAAAATAACACAATGCTGGATTCAATAATGCCCATTCATAGTTTAACCAGCCAAGAAATAAAGTTACACATCCCATTTTGCCAATTCCCGTGCATCAATAGATGCAATTCCGTATTCCCTGAGAACCAAGTCACCCAACTACAGTAGTTACCAAAATCTTAGATAACTTTGGTGACACACACACCTGAATAATTTCTCTGAAGTCTGAACTTGCCAACTACAGACTACAGTAGTCAACAAAATCTTACCGCAATCAACTACACTAACATAGAAGAATAACAATCCAAGGAAAAACAAATTAAGCTTCCCATGCCCCACCAATATAGTCCCGCATGCTTGCCCCTGGGGCACATCCTTTCACTTGCAGGTTTAACTTTGATTTGAAGTTTATAAAAGTAAATATACACCTGTGCTAAAACATAAGCACTTAAGTCTAAATGATGAGTAGACATTGGTTTTTAACAAACCTGCACTTCTGAACCACCATTTCTCTGAGGTCCTTCAAATACAGATCAATCTCTACAAGCTGAAAGATTTTGTTTTTGAAAAAATACAATGTAAAGCATGCATCAGAATTTACTCCTTGAAGATCATCAAACTTTCATTGGCTTTGTGTATGTTGCCTATGAAAATTAGAATAAAGAGAAAAAAAAGAAGCTTCTTTAGAAGCTACTATGACGATTTAAAAATTTGAGAAACCTCAGTGCTTAGATCCTTAGCCATGCTGGCATAAGCAGCCTCCTGGGCAAGTTGCGTGTGTAGTCGTGCCTCTGCTTCCTCATCTACTCGTCTTGTTTCCTACAATATCTTAATTCAAAAAATTATACTGAAATAATAAAGCATGACAACTGAAAGTACCTCCATTCATAAGGAAATACTACTGAATTCCTTGAAAAATACAGGTAACAAGATCCAGGAAAGCCTACATAAGATATTTTTTCATATTGGGATAGTAATTTACCTCTTCAACAACTTTTGGCAAAAGCTTTAGCCATTTTTCTTCAAACTTTTCCAACAAAGTTTTGGCCATCACGTGGACATCATCTTTGTCATCATTATATTTCATTGCATTCTTAAATACCAGCCTCACATCAGCATATATTTCTCTAACATTCTTATAGGCAGTACCATCCTTAGCTTCCATTTTATTTTTTATGGTTCCAAAGTCCATAGGCTTCTCAATAACCTAATGCAAGAAACCCAGAACAAATTAGGCATACCGTGAAAAGGAATTTTTTTTTTCTTTGTTGAAATTTAAAGACTTAAAATAAGGAATGAAGAAATCCTACATGATAGGATGTCACCAACAGAGAAGTCACTTTGATACAAGTATATGTATATTTAAGTTGAAAATGAAATGTTACACAGATTTTCCGTTTCTAACACTCTAATTAAGGCCATTTTGGGGAAAGTATATTGTATCATACGCAGGTAGTGATGAGTAAATTGTGAAAACAATTAAAAATGCATAAAGCGTCTTTATGATAAGTAAAAAAGAAGAGGGGATAAAATAAAATGTACACATATTGTTGATCATACAGATTACTGATCTGAGGGAAGAAACTTTACTTCATAATAGTCATGCAATCCCAGACTTTCAACATCTACAGGCTCCTTGAAGGGCCATGCCCATTCGTGCTGAGTGATCTGGAAAGTGCCAAGTAAGGCCAGATTAACTACTTATTAACCCAGATAAACCATTTTTATCACTGTTTTAGCATCAAAGCATCAAACCGAAGATTTAAGGAAATACCATGTGTGAGTTACTGAATGAGAAAAGACCAAAGTCTGCTTAAACATGTAGCTAGATACGGCAGTAATACCAGATATCAGAAAATTCATTATATCAAAAACACAATTTTCTTCCAGCAAGAAAAAGAAAATACATCATTTTATAAGTCTCCTTGCTCTTGCGTTTCTGAAACATAATATTCACCTAAAAGAAACTTTCTGACAAGTGACAACTGAAGTTTTCTCATTTAGCTTGTAACTGATATTGGAAATATCACTCAACATGAACATCTGATCACAAAAATTGATCTAGTCCTTTAAACTTGATAAAAATGTCTAGCTTTTCATAAAAATTATATACACTGCTGCTATTGTTCCTCAATATTGAGTCCAAGTGATTATGTCTTCAACCAAAGGAAAGTTAATATCTACTTAAAACACAATATTATAGATTTGATCATACATATTTGTTTGTGTTCCCAACATTGTACCCCTTTTTTCCCCTTCCCCAATAAACTACTGTAGAACTATGTCAAAAAATCATATATCCACCACCACATTATCAAGAAAGAAAATAGTGAATAGACATATGAAGAACCCTGATATGTAAGCATAGATCTTCATCAAAATATACCCAAGTACTTGCATCCATTGCTAAGTGACCTATATCATGAGGCAATGCATAGCGTTGGTGCTTGCCTGACGGAATATTGAGGCAAATTGCCGCATGAGCTCTTGCATTCTCTTTGTAGCAGTTACTTCCCTACGTGATGCATCTTGCTGCTGCTTCTTAAGAAGATTTAACTGTTTATCCTTCACAATTGAGCTACCTTTTGAATTGGTTAGTTGCGGACTACCTGTAGTCAAGTAAAATCGTTCAACCTCGTTCACTCTTTTCTCAAGCTGCAAGAAAAAGACAAATTATTCAATGTATTCATGAGTTTAAAAGTTTGGACAGATGTAACATGCCAATAAGGAAAAACTTGCACAAACCATAGATGTAAAAACCATAGTAGCTGGGCCAAAAGGTGGAAGTGGACAAAGGCAAGCAGCAGTTGTCTGATTTATTGATAATGAATGATGAAAAAATCAAAACACTGAAGTGCCTAATTGTATAACACCTACCCAGATCAAATGAAGAAACTAAAACTCTTAATCACATAAAGAAGATATTGGGTTCTAATTGGTAGAACGAAGCCTCACCGTATCAACCTTTGCAGAAATTTCATCAACAGAATGCCCAAACCCCGCCACTTCAGCAGCAACAGCAACTTTTCTAAGATCTGGGTTTGATGAACTTACTGGCTCCATCTGGTAAAAAAAACAAGTCAATACAAACCATTGTGGCACGGATGAATGCAAAATCATCCCAAAATTTATCCCCAATTTTTGTAGTTCTCTAGATTTCTTTATCAATGAAACCGATTAAGAAGCTGAAATTCATGAGAAAGATTGTGAATTTCGACGCAAATCAATGGGAACACGTGAAAGAACAAATTAAAAATTCAATCTTTATAGTTAAACTCTAAAGCCCTTTTCTTTGCATCAATGTAGAGAGAGGACATAGAATTGAACCCAAAAAGCAGAACCCTTTATCTTCTATAACAAATAAATACATACATAGAGTTGTTTAGTATATGGATATGGATGAACCTGAAAGAACAGAGACGCATACAGAGTCAGAGAGAGCGGAAGAGCAGAAGATCAGAGACAGGAAGAAGCAGAAGAACGCAGTGCTCTCATCAGAGTTTTCTGTATTGGATCCTATAGAACTCTCCAGTTTTGGATTGTGGACTGTGGACTGTTATTTATACTTATTGGGCTCCTGCTTTTTGTCTCTGTCTTTGTCGTTTTGGAAGGCCCAATATTTTAGTGTATATTTTATGTATGCGAAAAATTTACAAATAGCCCATTCACTATTTTTATTTTATACTTAAATATATTAATTTTATCTTTTATGTTTTTAATTGATCTCTCAAGAGTCAAGACAAGAGGATACACATGCGTGTAGCTCTCTATAAGACTGTTGAACTCATATCCATTTTTTATGAGTTGTCTTATGCAACATCTCTATTTAAAATTTTCTTTTTTAAATGGAAAACTCATTTTGTTCACTTTGAAATCCTCGACTCCAATCTTGATTTTAGAAATCCTTGACTCCAATCTCAAATTTAAAAATCCTTGACTCCAATCTTGAATTTGGAAATCCTTACTTCAAATCTTGAATTTAGAAATCTTGAGTATGATGGGGTTTTTTTTTTTTTTTTTTTTTTTTTTTTTTTTTTTGGTATTGGATTGCTTTTATCTGGCTCTCTTTTTACCTATTTTCACCTTGGGTCACGGTTTTGATCCGTGTATCTTTTGCCTTTGGGCGTTTTTCAATGAACCAACTCATTTTCACAACCAAATAAGAAAATTATTACAAACAAATGATTCTAAAGGTGTGTGAAAAACAAGAAAGTAGCTCAAAATTTTGGATCCATTAGAGCACCTCCACTCTAAAAGGTAAGGGCAAGGCAAAGGCTGCCACTATTCATGTGAATAGTGGCAGCCTTGCCTTTTTTGGTTCCACCCTAAAAGGCAAGGGCAAGGAAAAAAAAAGATTATGCAACAAAATATAAACAATTTAGAAATGCAAGAAATAAAGTGATTATGCAATAAAAACAAATGAAAGAAAATATAAACAATTTATAAATGCAAGAATGATTACAATTTACAAATATTAGAAGGAGAAGAGTTTGTATGAGGATTTGGTGTGGAAAGTGAATAAAATTGTTATGTATTTATAGGGAAAACATCCATAATTTTTTGGTTTTTTTTTTTCGATTTTGTTTTTTTGCTCGCTGACGTCTGTGAGGCAAGATCTGCCCTTGGGCTTGCCCGGGCTGGTGGGCCTAGGGCTTGCCCGGGCTGGATTGGTAGCGCTGGAGGGGGATTTGGGCTCTCCGAGGGCCCGTTAGAATCTCCCCTTTCAACTTCAACCTCAAAGATTTCTTTGTCTTTATACCTCTCAACCTTGAAAGCCACTGGTATCCATAAGCAAGGTAGTTGTATCTACCAAACAAAAGAAACCCATTATCAAATTTAAACAAAAATTCACATTACCAACAAACAAAACCCAGCTATCCAAAAAAATTCGAGAAACCAAAAGATAAAAGGAATAGAAAAAGCAAATTTTCCTTTGATATTGGAAATCTCAATTTCTAGGGTTTAAACTGATGAGAGAGAGGAGGAGAGAGGTAAAGAGAGAGGGACGAAGCGAGAGAAGGACAATGAGAGAGACGGGGAGAGAGGGAGCAAGCAAGCTTCAAGCTTCTCCCATGGAAGCATGAAGCTTGAGCGAGAACCAACAGCGCAGTGAGCTCAAGCGAACCAACAACAGCGAACAATGCGAGGAAAAAAAGTCAAGAAAAACGCATTTGTTTTGTTTTCAATAATAGGGGTATTTTTTAGTTTGTTTTGGGATTGAGTTTTTAAAATTGGGCCTACCAAACGAGTTTTTCGGCCTTTGAATTTAAAATCTATTTTTAAATTTATAAAATTGGACTCAAATCAAATCTCAAACAGCCCTAATTTGTCCCTCAAAACAATAATGCCAACATGGGGAAAATGAAAGGACTCTCCTTTCCAATCAAGAGCTACACTAAAAAAACCCACTTGATTTTTCAGAGTGTTGGTGATCATGCCTGAATTCAAGGGTTTTACATCTCTGTCTTTTCTTGAATTCAAGTGAAGCAAAGCAGCATCTAGATCTTTGACCATTTTTGTACAGTTTCCTTGCATATAAGCTTTAACTTTCAGTGCAAGACATCAATTATATCAAATAATTAAGAAAAATCCAGCACTAAATAGACATAATTAATACACTAAAACAGCAGATAATTAAGAAGAAGGAGCTGAATTTCCCCACCAATACTTCTTTATCTACTGTTATAAAAGTATTACATAGTAATTCACATACATACATACACTGAAAGACCAGAACACATGAATGAAAGCTTTGGAAAATCACAGGACCAAAAACAAATATTCCAAATAGATTACAAGTATTAAAGAATAACAAATCAAAAATAATTTCCAAATAAACTTTTACACAAAGTCATCATGTTTGATTGTTCTTGATGATTGATCTTTCTTGCTAAGGCTTTGCTGGTTCTGCAGCAGCAGTTTCCTCCACCTTTGGAGCCTCAGAAGCTGGTTCAGTCTCAGTTGTTGTAGCTTTCTCAACCGCCTCTTCTTTCTTAACCTCCACAACCTCTTCATCTTTCTTGATCTCCACAACCTCTTCATCTTTCTTGATCTCCACAACCTCTTCCTTCTTCTCTTCTTCAACCACTATCTCCCTTTCTTTTACAGCACCACTTGTTTCCTCTTCAGTTTTTGTTGCTGTGGTTTCTATTGCTGGTGGTGGTGGTGGAGGCTCCACTTTCTCCTCTACCACAATGAATGTTGAGACCTTCTCAAACACAAAGAAAACTGGACCTGACACATAGGCTGGCCCATACTTTGATGATGCTTCTGATACTGGTTTGGATCCTGGAAAATCTGTTCATGCAAAATTTAACCCAATTAAGCAAAACACACAAAAAAATTTAAACAAAAACAACCCAGAAAAAATAAGATGAAATTAAATATGATTTGACAGTTACATACCAATTTTCTCTAGCTGTTCAAGGAACTTGTGGACTGCAGCTGAGTGCTTCTTCAACCCTGCCTCCTTGCGCTCCTTAACCAAATTCTGTTTAATTAAGGTGAAATTATAATTAGTTGGTTAATCCACTCACTCTTTTGTTGTTTGTTGGTAAGTTTTTAATTATCTTACCTTAATCTCAACAGAGGAACCTTCATATATTTCAACTACTTTTGCTTGAAGCTCATCTTTCTTCTCTTCAAACTGCTTGCTATAATCCTCCTGGAACAGACATGTTGAATATAACTTGTTACATGAAAGAACGTACAGTAAATAAAATTTTATTAAAGGAAGATGAGTGAGAGTAATAATAAGCAAACCTTAGACTCATCAAAGGACTTGCAAGCCTCAGCAGCAGCAGCCTTTTTTCCACTGTTTTTGTTCTCGAAGACCTTCTTGATCTTTGGAAGCACCTTGGTTTGCCAATAACCCATCTCTTTTCTCAACTCAAATATCCCTTAAAACAAGTCTAAAAACAAAACCAAAAGAAAAGAACAATCAACACCAAAAGTTGATGAAAGATATAGTTGCAAAAACAAAACCAAGTACTGAAATTCAAGTCTGCAAGAACAAAAAGAACTTGATGAAGCTATAAGTTAAAGAATAATCTCTCTCTGTCTTACCTACTTAATTCTATCACTTCTCTCCTCTCTCTCTCTCTCTCTCTCTCTCTCTCTCTTCTATTTGTTGTTGAATTCTCCAATCAAGCTCTCAAGGTCCACCTCAATGCTTAAGTATTGTAGTAGCCAACTGTCTCTCCAAACTAAGCCACATAAAGCTTTAAAATCTGGCACATCAAACATACAGACGTATGTTTTCCTCCATACTAATCCCTATGATCCCATCTTAATTACCAAAACACCCACTTATCCATTGATACCAGCCAACCTCTCCCATGCAAATTTCCTATACTACCCTCCGCCGTCACCGCGCATACACATAAAATATAAGGGCTGTGACAGTCCACCAAAATTCACAGGTAGGTTTGGCCAATTATTTCGAGATTTCATAATAGATTCGAGGCCAGGGTGGTCAGTGGTATTGTTGTAAATAGGTGGGGACTAGGAGGGTAAAACAGGGAATAGAAAATGGGGTGTGGGGCCTCTAGGGAAGGTGACAGCTGGCAATCATCTCAATGGACAGGTATTATATTAACGTGGGACCCTTAAAGGGTTTGCCAAGTTTGATATTGATCTGTAAAAATTCAATCGTTACGTATATGCTTTCCCTCTGGCTTCTTCTTCCCTCCTCGTCCTCCTCCTCCTCTGGCTTCTTCTTCTTCGGTCAGCTTCGCAATTGACAAAACTTGTCACGTGGCTTCGCTGGTGTTAGCAATCGCGCCGTCAATGGCTGTCAGCAAATTTATCTTCAAAGAAAACCAAACCCCATGGCCCCATTGACCATAATGTGGACAAAATTCATGCCATGTTACTCTTTTGTTTCAATGTGTTATGCAAATACAATCACAAATTAATTAAACCCATGCAAAATGCATAGATAGCTGGCTCAGCCTAGCTTAGCTTGCATCCACATGGGATTCTTTTTCTTTCTTTTTTTTTCTTTTTGTGTGTGTGTGTGTGTTTGGGGGAGTGGGGGACAAGGAACTTGTATTAGTTTATTGTGGGGTTGACAGATGTTATTAGCTGCATAGGATTTGGTTAATCTATCGTATATAATTGGATTTTTTTTCAAGTGCTTTTGGTACAAGACAGCATGCATTTTGAATTGACAATATTCTGATTTTGCTACAAGGAATAAATAGTAGTGGCATGTTTGGTTGAATGGCAGGTGATTAAATTGATATCAGCTAGTTGAAAGAAACTATCTGAAAAAGCATATTTGGGTCTGGAAAAACAAAGATTTTTATGTATTATGTGTAAAAGTTGCATCCACCTGGGTTTGTTTTATAATTCTGCTATTACATTAATTAATTTCAGGGAAGGGAGAGATTAGAGAACATCTTTCCAGAGGTTAGGGGATATGATTTTTCTTTGGCAATCTGTCAGCCACCCATTTGCCTCACCCAGCCAGACAAAATTAAATTGAAAGTTTGACTGTTGTAAAATTCTGCAGCATCTTGTTGCTGATATCATCATGCAGTATCTATCTCCCTTTGGATCAAGATTGAAATGGAAAGTCTAGTCAAAATGTGATTTGAGGAATCCAATCTGTCCTAATTATTATAACATAAGGCTGGTGAGCAGTCTCAAGGCAACTTGATCATGAGAAGTGATTAGTTGAAAATTATTGCATTAATTAGAGTGATGAAGTATTGTTGTTCTCAATTATTTGTCTTGTTCCCTCTCTGGTTCAACTATTGGCTTCAAACATTTGAATTAAATCATGACAAATGGGAAGGAATTGTTCAAACATTTATTCTTTCTAGATATGCATTTTGGTAGGGATAAAGAGTGAATTTTAAGCAAATATGTAATAGAGTAACCAAAACTTAATCTGTTCTTAAACAAATATTTGCATGATGCGCTCGCCACTCTGCACCCGAGTTCAAATTAGTTTAGATTTAGATTATCGCTTGTATAAAAAACAAATATTTGCAAATAATTGTAAGCTTGATCAAATGCACACCTTAACAGCTAGCATTATGTTTGATGCCACAGATCATTTTCTTTAATAACAAGTTCAATCTAATAACCTATTTGGATTGATTATTGAATCTTTAAACATTCTTAATTAGATTGGACTTGAAAATTATAAAACCAGTTAAAAGTTGTCAATTACTTATAAGAATCAAATTAACCTAAAACCAATCCAATTATTGTAAGTAATATAAATATATAAATGTTGCTTATAAAGTATCTTATAAAGTTTGGTGAGGTTATAGTATTATTCTTCAAGGAAGAGCCTCAAAGACCATAATTGAGTCTATGTCACACTAATCAAGTTTTATTAAAATGCTAATTAGTGAATACAATTTTCAATACTTGAATTAGAAAAATTCTATTTGGCGAGGCAAGAAATAAGAATGGAGCTGGTCAAGATTACACATTCAATTATCAAGATGTGATGGCCAGTGTCCACAACTATTTATTTGTCTCAAAATGAGAATTTGGACCAATTCACCAAATTATATTTGGATGAGATTTTTTGTTGAAGAATATAAAGCCTCGCATTGGAAAAATTGACTAAATAAAATACAAGATATAACGAATGGTTCCTATACTAATATCACCGAGGTCTTTTGTGATCCGTCTATCTGAAATTTAACAATACTATGATAATATCATATGTGATGAATATAAATAAATTAGTCTTCGTCAATGGCTTCAGCAAGCATAAAATGATACCCAAAATATTCAAGAAAACACACAAAGCATATGACGTGGAGGGTAGCGTTTGAGTGCAAAACTCTATATGAAAATAGCATAACATAACAATCAAACCCTATGTCACTCTGAAAACGAAAGTCATTAGCTTAGATAGATTATTAGCCTTCACGCTAATTAATATTTGATTTGATTGCTCCTATTCTTAGCCAATTCTGAGGTGTTTTCCAACCTAAGCATCCCAATTTGACGTTTCTGTCATCTTCCTCCTCACATTAAAAACCATAAACGCAAAACCCTATTAATTTTCAGTGAACCACACGCTTGAGATTTTATATATAAATCAAAGCCCTGTTGCAGAAACAAAACCAAAAAAGATATTTCATAAAGTAGTTCATTTCATTAGTAAAATGGGTGAGACAAACAAATATCAATGTGCCAACGACATTACAAACTTTTCTACTCTAATTAACTACCGACAGTTCTCTTTCTGAAACAAAATTTTGCTTCAACATGACAAAGCCAAACTTAGCTCAAAACAGATCAACAAATTACATTCGGCTGATCGTGAACTTATGGACAATAAATAATACGATGGTTTCCCACTTAACAGCATTACTGCATTAATCTACGACGTAGTTGGGAGCCACAGCCAATATTCTTGAATTTCTTATATTTCTAGATATTGATGGCTGCCCTGCGTCTTCGCCTTCGCCTTCTGCTGCTTGCCCTCCGTCATCTACTACTATCAAATATCCTTCTCTTCTTATCAAACTCTGCGTTACAGGCATTCGTTTTTCTTGTTTAAGTAAAGATAACAGCTATTGTGGCCAATTAATATGATATTATTACACTAAGGTTAGGGTGCAAGATAACTGTATTTTTACCTCTATGATCGCTTTGATTTTGGATGCTTCAAGACGTGCCTCCTCCTCGGAAGTGTATGCATTTTTCTCATTCTGCTGACTCACATACCATTGAATCAAGTCCCTCTGCCTCATTCCAGCCAGCCCTGTCCCTGCAAAAACAAGGAATCCTCAAATTCTTTCAATAAAATGAATATGAATTACTACTTACTAGGTATTGGTTAAGAATACGGCTAGAGTCCATTTGGAAAGAAAGATTTCAAATCCAGAGATTTAGTTTAAAGATTATATAGTTAAATTGCTTGATTGGACAATCACAATACATAAATATCTCTATTTAGAGATTCAGAAATAATTGGGGCATCAGAGTGTGCATAGCTGGTCAGATAATCAAGAGTTACGATACTTCGCAAACAATAATATCAATGCTTGGTAACTGGAACTAAAATTCTAAAGGCAGATTGATCTTACATTTCATCATTATGTAAAAATTAATAAGAAAACAATAAAAAAGTGCCTTACCACTTCGTATAACATCTTCTTCGTGCTGTCTAAGACGCATGACAAGGGCCTGGGTAACCCTCTCAAAGTATTCATGACTCATTGTGATCTTTCCTTGTTGTTTTGCAGGAGCTGATCCATCTTCTGCACCATCGTAATCGACACAAAATGATCATGCCAAGATAAAGTTAGAAGAAAGCATACATAAAGATGGGTCCCATACTCATACCAGCATCCCCAGAAGCTGGCTCAGCTTTGGCTTTCCTTGTTTGATCATCACCTGGATCAGTACCATTATTTCCATTGTCATCACCTGGATCAGTACCATTATTTCCATTGTCATCACCTGGAGCAGTACCATTATTTCGATTATCATCACCCTCCATATTGTCATGAGTTTCTTCAAACTCCGATAGATCAATTTCGCTAGACTCCACACTGGATGAAAAAATAAAACAAACATTATTGCCAAAAAACCAACCTCTGTCTGAGAGAGCGAGAGGGGGAGGGAGGAGGATATTTAACATAGTCTCATTGTTTTCTTACCTGATTACTGACGTTTTCAGCAATCGCACTGCTAAACGTACATGGGGTGGTTTTACCTGTATGAATTGTTTGTTAAGAGCAAGAAAGACATGTATCTAATCTCAAATCCAGATAAATAACTTGTACAGTTTTAGGCACCTGAGCATCCAGATGACATCGAGCAATGGCCTCTGACAGTCTAATCAGGGCCTCTAGTTGCCTAACTGTCATGCGATAAGCAACTCTACTACCAGGAGCAGTATCACCTCTTCTGAGAGCCACATAAGAGTCTACCAACAGCTTTCTAGCATCTGAGTCTAACTGCACAATTTATTTTAGCTTGGTTAAACAAGCCGGAAGGCAAATAGCTTTGAGCAACAGAGAGAAGGGGGGGGGGGGGGGGGGGGGGTGGGGGGGGGGTGTGGGTCGTGACTGTGGGGTAGGGTAGAGACAGACCTTTGGTTTCAGAGTCTTAGCATATGCAATATAGCGTTTCAGCTGTGCAGTACTGAATTCAGGAGTAAGCGCCTCTTCCCGCTTTTGATGTACTCTTACAATGTGGTGGGCAATGTGATAATCAGTTTGATCATCTGGGTCATCGATCATAACATATACCAGATCAAACCTTGAGAGAATAGGAGGAGGAAGAGCCACATTATACTGAAAAAGCCAAAGAAGTGAATTAGTTTGTCTAGAAACCCTCCAAGACATTTGAATCATAGAAATGAATAACCCCTGGCCAATTTTTAAAACAGTTTGTAGGCTTTAGTTGCAAGAATATGTGTTACCTTGAGGGGTTTAGATCTATCATAACGGCCCCCTGTGGGGTTGGCGGCAGCAAGGATTGATGTTCGAGCATTCAGTGTTGCCTGTATTCCTGCTTTTGTAATGCTTATTGTCTGTTGTTCCATGGCCTCATGAATCGCAACCTAAAGTTCAATTTACATATCAGATATTGACAGTTGCTCTACGCATAACATCTCAAGTCATGGGGTTATACAAAATAATAAAAAAGTTACCTGATCCCTGATGTCCATTTTGTCAAATTCATCAATGCAACAAATGCCATTGTCAGCAAGCATTAGTGCACCAGCCTGAAATCAGATCACATAGCATATCAGAAATTTAACAAACAGAGGCGACATGGGTTTTCCATAGGGAAGACATCTTCGCTTTTCAATTATGTCCTTTTTAAGCTGGTGTTTATCATCCTCTTATTAATCTCTATCTTTTCACAAACTAAATATCGCCCAACACATGGACTTCATATAGAAATAATAGTTTATAGGTCCAAGGGTATGTGTACCCCATCACAATTCACAGAAAATAATATAAACACAGAAAGTGCAGCACCGAAAATATAATATAGGAGCCATGATTTCAACAATTTAAGGATTTCAAAATGGTTAAGAAGCAAAATAAATTTAAATGCTACCTCAATACAAAATTCTCCAGTTTCTGGTTCTTTGGCAACAGTAGCAGTTAAACCAGCAGCAGAGGAGGATTTCCCAGATGTGTAAACAGATCTTGGAACTATTCCTGCCGCATACCTACAGTTGATATAACAGCATATAAAGTGGATGTCTCTATCAACTACAGGAACTGAAATGATAAACCGAAGAGGAGGCATACTTGAGGAACTGAGATTTTGCACAACTGGGGTCTCCAACTATACAAACATTGATATCTCCTCTCAAGTTGATACCTTCATGAGTAAACTTGTGGACACCACCCAGAAGCATAAGCAGGATTGCTCGCTTGATATCTTGATGGCCAAAAACAGTTGGGGCAATGCTATCAACAAGCTTATTGAAGAAATCGGGGGTACTCCTCATTCTTTGAACTTCATCTCGCTCTTCTGCCTGCAAATTGGTGAAACAAAGCAGTGGGTCAGATGTGTTGCCCAAAAATACTAAATGTGTATGCAGAGTACAAAACATGATGAAGTTTCAACTTCTAACAATAACCAGATGAGAAGCATTTACAAGTGAAAGATCAAAAGTGAAATCAGAAATCAAAATGAGCAACAACTAGAGCCTGGCAGATGAGAAAAAAATAAAGCGAGAGGTTGGAACATGAACTAACAGTGAACTGCTGGTTGTCATCGTCTTCACCATCCTTCTTTCTATTCCGAACATCGGTATCCTGTCTACCATCAGAAATCTGGAGGAAAAGAAACAAAAAAGCAATTGTCAAGCACATATCATAGAAAGACACGAATTTTACATAACCTAAATTGCTAATACAATCTACTCAATGACCAACCTGAACTGAATTAGCAATAAAGGCAAGGCGATAGGAGAGATCTCTCACTCCCAATGCTCGAAGGCCCCTCACTCCTTCATGTGCAGCCATAGAACCATTGCGCTGGGATGCTTGTCGAGAACACTCTGCTCTGTCTCCAGGGGCGGCCAATGCCAATATGTCTGGTATCACGACAACTGTACCCGTGAAAATGACACTACAATTGCATGCAAAATGAAGCAAACATGTAGCTTAGATACAATTAGCATGTTGAAGCGAAGACATTAGTTAAAATCAAGCATAGGGATTGACTTTACTTACGTGTCACCGGCCCTTGCCTTCTCAACAATCTCGTGGCGGATTATGACATCCAGCGATCTGGGAAGGGAGCCCGCAGGTATCTCTTTGGAAGTCTCCTGCATTCGTACCCTCTGCCAATCTGCAAATTTGCTCTCTTGCCGAAGTAATGCCCACCTTGCTCTATTGGCGCATGTGGCATTGACACAGATTGTTGGCTTTGACCCCGCAATTACAACAACAGATCAGGAAAATCCAAGAACAATCAAAGGTCCAAAAAAGCAACTAAGTCTCTAAATATACAATGACTGACCTCAGTGTACTTGAATTGCTGTTCAACATTCTTGATGACGCCTCCGCACTCCAAGCACTTGAAAGTCCCGTGGAGAAGCTCCGGTCGAACCTCACTGGTCCGAGTCACCACTCCTTTCACCGACACCAATTTCCCAATTTCTGCTGTAGTCAATTCCCTCAACCTAGAATGAAGTCAATTATGTTACATACTCTAATTTGACAACTGAATCAAATATTTACAATATCAAGCAAATGGGGAGCAACCTTTTCGAGACGGGGAGGTTGAAGAAGGCCACATTGATGGTGTCCTTGTTAGTATCGTCAGCAACGAAGTGGGGGCGGAGCTCCGTCACAAATCTCTTGCAAGCATTCTTCAAATAAGGCTCAAACCTAATTAATTAAACAACGATCGATTAATTTTGAGTGAATGAATAAATTAATTGATTTGGGAGAGGGGGGTGGGGGTTGGGGTTTTAGGGTTAGGGATTGTAGGAAAATGGACCTGAGGAACTCATCGGAAATGGCCTTCTGGAGGAGATTGTTGAAGACCATGACGTGAGAGAAGTCGATGAACATGGTGCTGGACTCGTTGGCGCTCATGGCTTCTATCTCGGCCTCGTAATACGCGTCTCCTCCACCTCCTGAGATCCTGAAACTCTTGAGAAAGTCCAAGAAGATGTTCTCGACCCTCACCGCCTTCTCGTCCACCAAGAATCCTCCATAAGCCTCCATTTTTGCTCTCTCAGAATCGCAGACTCTCAGTCACCTCTGAGTTCTCTACTTTCTCGAGCTTTTTTCTCACCGTTTGCCCCTTTCTGGTTTCTGGCGCCAAAATAAGACTGCCAACCCAACGGCTTCCCGCCAAAAACACCTTAGGCGCGTAATCCGGGTATTGGGTTATTAGCCCACCAACATTATAACGGGCCTTCAACTACTATGATTTTCCAACACTAGCCCAATTCCAAAAAGAAAAGAAAAAGGATCCAATTTTTTTTAGTTGTTAATTTTGAACTTTTTTTAAGTTTAAAATAAATGAAAAATATATTTTTTTTTTTTAGTGCACAGTTGGAAAATGTTGGAAATTTTTATGGATGCTAGATGTTACTAATCAAATGTTTGAGTGAGTTTATAAGCCCCCTTTCAAACTATCGCGATTGGGCTCATGCAGTTTTTTTTTCCTTATACAAGCAATATTGGAATGTGAGAGATTCTAACACAGGATATCGAAGCAGAAATAACTACTTTTAATCACTTTAGCCGTACAACTTATTTCTCTATAAAAGAAAAAGGCCTTCTTTTCATTTTTTATTTGTTTTTATGTTTGATCATAAGATCAATGTAGTCAATGACGGTTCCAAAATTCGAAAATCGAATATGCAAAACTTACATACTAAACTCGACCGTTCGAGCTAAAGAGTTTTGAGTATACTTTGCTTGGTTATTTGGAATGAAGGCAATTCCTCAATAATTCGTTCACTTACCCAATAAATTAAAATAAAATAAACAAATGAAAAAGAGTATTTGTTGATAGTTGTCGGGAAATGAAGAGGACTGAAATGTCCCATCGACTGGAAAACAAGCTATGGCAGGAACCAAGGATGGGATGGAAGAAGGCAAAGGCTATACAGGAATCCAAATACAAATAGCCTAAGTAGGCTTCTCATCATGCGCAGTGCTAATTAACCTAGTGGTACGTAGCCGGCCTGCCATATGCAAAGTAGTAAGTAGAGGTTGTATTATATATTTATGATCTAATTCTACTTCTCAATTGTAATTACGGGGTTCAAAGCTGGATAATTTAGATTAGTTGCTAGGTACGTTAGGATATTGAAAATAACAAATTCATTACTATGAAAGGGAGTCGTTATTGTCACTCTAAAAGAATCAAATGTTGCGCCTTTAAATACAATCTATACTCTATATTTTTATAATTGTTCAGACAAGGTCATGCCAAATCTTCTCAATGGGCCGACAACATCGTCCAAAATCTGCCGAATAGTTTTGGGTTTCTTGTTTAATTACCTTCGAAAATGATTCATAAATAAGTCAATCATCTTATACTAAACTAAATTAAGGTATAAGAAGCACCTTACAAACACCTCGGTATTCATGCATGCCCACCGATAAGGTAGTGTTTGTTTTGCGGAATAATAATTCTATCTATGAATATGATACTCGTTATTTGGAAATGTGGTTTTTGGAAATCCATGCAATTCCTTTTTCACAATTTCAAAATTGTGCTGTCAAGACAAAAACGAACTTTTTTCTTTCTTTTTTATAGTTGTTTTAAAAGGAGAGGCTGAAACTTGTAAGTTTATTTATTCAAAATCAACTATTAAGCAGTCTTTTTTATCCCAGTGAAAAGGGATTGTAATTTGCAGACTAGTGATTTTAGGTTCGAATTCCCATGGCACCTTAATAGTGTATGTTTGTAAGAAAAACTATCCTCCCTTTTGTGGTTTAGTTATTCCATAATAATAATTAGTGAAACCACGGGCCTAATCCTTCATAATCATATAACTCATTTCGTGAAACGAAAATTGAATATCACTAGAACAAGTGTTAGATTATATATAACGTCATACCATATTCATTCTGAAGTGCCCAAACCGCCAAACAAGCATAGTGCATTTCTTCGTCAAGTAGCTTTCTACAACTTTACATGTGAACCGAAACTTCTATCTACTTTTCCATGACACGTTGCCGCCCTAACTTAATCTTATCTCACGTTATCGACTAAGCTAGTTTATTTAGTTTCGTGTTTTGGTCAATGGACTAACATTAACCTAGTTTTCTGCCGCCCGAAGTTCATCGAATCAATGCATTTCAGTATCACTTGAGCGAGAATCATGCGGGCTTTTTTCCTTTATGGTCCTTTTTGGGAAGCATCATTGTTCATGATTGAGAAACTTTTAATGGTGCTGCTAACTTCTAACCACATTCAAATCCCAATTAACTAATCTCTTTTGCAATGCAATGCTTATCCGAAATGAGGTCTAGGGTTCTTAGGCATGTAAGAAACGCATGCTTAAGAGTAGGGCCACGTGTTCAAGACCCACACCAAAGCCTATAACTGAAACTCTAGGCAGTTGCCAATGTCACCTTTTCTCTTTGACTCATTTCTGCCAACGTATCGAGAGAGAGAGAGAGAGAGAGAGTTCCCTTGAATATGCTAAGTGGAGGTCATGAGGAGAAGCAGGCAATTAATATGTAGCCGTTTCGAGTCATGAGTTCACTACAAAAAGCACACGCACCCTGTCTTAAATCTTTTTCTCTCATTCGTCTCTTTGAATTTACTCTTTATTATTTGTTGTTGGGTTCTGGAGACTTTCGTTTTGGTAAGTTTTGTTGTCGTGGTAATTGTTGATGAAATGATGAAGGTAGAATCCATTGTCTATTCGAATAAGAAAATAACCTATTCATTCTCAACGACAAATGTTCAACTAGGACTAAGAATTCAACTCGAAGAAATAGGTAAGAAAGAAACTAGAGAGAGTAAAATATGATATATATATATATATAACCACTTTTAATGTCCAAGAGTTCTTTTATTCAACAAAGAATTCAACACATATTGACCAATATTTTATGGAGGCCGTTAACCCATCTTCTTTTTCTTTCGTTTTTTTCAATTTTTTTTATGGCTTTACCTACCTCTTCATATAATCTTGTATGGCTCAATTTTTATTAGTTACCATAGAAACGGCATTGAGTGACTTTATTTTCAAAAGAAAGAAGAAAGTTCTAAAAAGTTTTATACCTTTAGATTATATTTTAATGAGATGACAGTCTTATAATGAAAGTCAAAATGAGGTGACAGTCTTATAATGAAAGCTAATAAGGAAGTTCTAGTAAAAAAAATATAAACAATGAATTCGGATTTATTACCATGTACAATTTTTTTTTCTTTTTTAAAAATTAGACCATGAAAGTCTCGATTTGAATTAGGTGGTGAAGATAAATACTATTTACCATTGAATAAATTACAACTCATGGCACTATATATCTTCTTTTTATAGAGTGAGAGATTCATCTCCCCTCAGTCTCTCTATCTATCCCTTTCTAATTAGAATTAATGGAGAGCTTAGTCCAAGCCTCACCCAAAAACTCCCCCAAAACCCACCACCATGGTGGCCACCACCAGGACCAAAACTGCCCCACCATCATCACCGTCCACAACAACCCATCAACCCAACTGAGCAACAAAGACAAGCGCTCTATGCCCCTTCTAGTGATCAATTACTTGTGTCTCTTCATAGGCTCAGTCTCTTCAAGCCTACTCTCCAAGTACTATTTCATCCACAAAGGCTCAAGCATTTGGGTTTCTACATGGGTTCAATGTGCTGGCTTCCCTCTCCTCCTCCCTTTTGTTTTCACTCCTTATTATCTCCTCAATAGCACCCAAAGAAAACCCTTCTCTCACTTCACCCCAAAAATCTTAACCCTCTCCATTTTCATAGGCCTCATGTTGGGCCTCAACAACTTCCTCTTCTCTTGGGGCAACTCCTATCTCCCAGTCTCCACCTCCTCCCTCCTCCTCTCATCCCAGCTTGTCTTCAACCTCATTCTCTCAGTCATCATAGTCAAACAGAAAATCACATTCTCAAATCTCAACTGTGTGATCCTCCTAACAATAAGCTCAGTGCTCTTGGCCTTGGGGTCCAGCCATGACAAGCCTCCTGGCTTGACGCGTGGCAAGTACTTCTTGGGCTTCTTCTCCACCATTGGCGCAGGCTTGCTGTTTGCTCTCTATCTCCCAGTCATGGAGAAGATCTACATCAAGGTTTACTGCTACGCCATGGTGATAGAAATGCAACTGGTGATGCAGGTCTCGGCCACGGCGCTGGCCACGCTCGGGATGGCCCTCAACGGTGCGTTTCGGGAGATGAAGGTGGAGAGCATGAAGGTGTTTGATAAAGGGCAGAGTATTTACTGGGTGACCGTGCTGTGCAACGTGGTGACGTGGCAGCTGTGCTTCATGGGGACGGCTGGGATGGTGTTCTTGACCTCATCGTTGACCGGGGGGATTTGCATGACGGCTTTGATGGGGATGAATGTGTTGGGAGGGGTTTTGGTGTACGGGGATGAGTTTGGGGGAGTGAAGGTGGTGTCTACTTTGTTGTGTGGGTGGGGGTTCTGTTCTTATGCGTATGGGATTTACATGAATACTAAATTAGGTAAAGAAGACGATGGAGATAAAGACAAAGAGGACACCCACCAAGGGATGGAGATGGGTGTTGCGTAGTGTAAATGATAGTAGTGTTTGATTTGAACCATGAGATGATAGCTTTTGGTGAATTTCTATTTTTTTTTGGGGGGAAAAAAAAATGGAAGTTTGAAATCATTGCCTAATTGCTTAAGTACATCATTGTCAATTTGCCTTGTCACTTTAACACTATAACACCACTAAAAATGATCAATTATCCATTGAGGATATTGATTTGGTTTCGATAATGAATGATTATCAATCGCTAGTGCACATACATCAACAACATGTCCACTTACTTATGTTCAAGACTTACATACATTCATTGTTAACAATCATTCACAAACGCATGCTAAATTTGTAAGGCATGCTCTAGAATCTACCTAAATCAATTACCACGTTTAAATGAACATTGTTCTCACAAAATCTAGGAACTAATCAAAAAGATTTAAAATTTAACCCATCTCAAAGTTTAGTATGATGGATGTACATTCATTGCTATAATTATGTCTTCCCCCACTATTTTTTTCCACTTTTATATACTAGAAATATTAGAGTTGTGTTCTTTCTACTAAAAAAGGAAAAACTAAATCTGAATCAATCAGCTATGAGGACATTATGAATATACAAGGGGTAATGGTGCATATGAGGACATTATTCCAATCTCACATGTATGATGTAGGACAATTTATTAATTATATAGCCCTCAATGCTGCTGCTTATATTATACGGTTGGAATTGCTTACCAAATCAAATATATATATAATGGGATTCACTCATTCACATATACCTTAATTAGAGCAATTAATGAATCTTTATGGGGCACTAAGTTGATCACCTCATCACACCCACCTTTCTGAAAAATGGAAGTGATCATGAGCATATTTTGCTACTTTTTATTTTCCAATAGTTTTGTAATGTGGATATATTTAAGCTACTTTTATGAAATTAAAGTTGATGACAATTAGTTACTAAGATTATCTCCGACCGATATGCCAAATTGCCACATGGACATGAAATAGCAAAATTTGAAGGTTAAAGTTGCTCCAACGAAGTAGTCAAATCCTGCATGGATTTGAAGGCTGGAAGAGATATGTCAAAAATAACATATCAAAAAGTTTGATGTCAAATATTATTTTTAGTTATGGATCCCACTATCATTTACTCTCTTGTAAAATTTTATGCATCATATGAGCCCCATTTGCTTTTAACAATATAATAAAATAATATGATATTTGACATTTTGTGTGGAGTTAAATATTTTCTAAAGTGTCAAACTGCCACATAAGCCATCAAATTCAAATGCAACTATCACGTATTATCCATATATATTCAGGAAGAACTTGACAAAATCTGATCCATTTAAAGATCTCTATACTATTAAAATTGAATAGATACAAAGTTTATTTGGGTTCATGACGGCAGTGAGTTGAGGAATGAATAAAACAAATTGAGGAAGAGATGTGGTTTTCTTTTTTGTCCATACATAATGTGGTTCTTTTCATGTACAGTGTAGGCAAAAAATGGTGCAAAATCTTTATAAGAACACGCGGGATTAGATTATGCAGTGTTTTTCACTAAGCTTTTAAAAATATCTTTGTACGCTCAAGATGTTGCTGTGTCTTTTGTGGTGTTGTTTGTTTGCATGAAGGAGATTTCTTGTTGGACGACATGGCTTTTTGGGACTTCCACTTGCCAAAGAAAATGTTTAACACTAATAGTGGTAATTCTTCCAGAGATAAACACAAAATATATGCATATTAAAAAGGCCTATTAGAAAAAAGGGAAGAAAAAAAACTTATTAATTGATGAATGAATTTTGTGTCTTTTTCTTGTCACAATCTGAAACCGAACTAATCCTTATCACTTACTATTTCCAGAGATAAATCATAACGATAAGGAGTATTTATCAACCTTAGTTTTTTCTTCTTTTTTTTTCCATTGTCAACCCTTCTTCTTTGCATAGAGGGTCGCTCAATATCATTCAAGATGTTTTGGTAAATGACTTCTTCTAATCGGATTTGGTTTCCAATGCAATTTCATATAAAAAATCCGATAACCATAAAGCCTGAAGATTAGCAAAAAGAAAGTTTAATTTTTCCACAAGTAGTTGTGTTTTTCTTGGATTCCAGAATTTTACTATTTAGCATCTACCAATATTTACTGCAATTTAATGATATTGCTGGACATTACTGTGGGGGTGACTATCTAATTGACTTGTCTGATAATTTTCAAGTGAAAACAAGATAGTCCCTCTCATTTTCATAGCCTGTCTTTTGTTTTGTTCCTCCTAGCTTTTAGAGCCATTTCTTTAGTGCTAGGTGGTGGGTCATAATAAAAGTAGAAAAGACTACAAATATAAAATTATTTTGAGAAAAGAAAAAAGACAGAGTGATATTAGAGATAGAGGTGGATCTTCCTTTTTTCCTATAATTTAATCACATCTATAATACAGTTTTAATCATTGCTTTAAAGTGTACCTCACGAAAACTGTGGATCTTTTTCTATTATATTTTTCTTTCGAAAACATTTCGATCAATTTGATGAATTTGGTCACGGTACTTTGATTCCTCATAGCCAATCTTTATATAAATGATTTGATTCGGCTAATAAAACAAAACAAAACAAAACAAAGATAGGGCGCAGCTCTTATTCTTTACATATAATTTAGTTTTCCTTTTCCATTCCAACCAACAAACTGCTCTTTCTTTTTACGTTTTATGTTTTTATGCAGATGGAGAAGAGAACAAGCATGAATTAATGGAGAGGCAAGGTGGTCCGTCCATATGTCTACTTTTGATGACTAACAAAGTAAGTTATAAAGATAATATATATTTTTAAAGTACGAGAAGCCAATGATAATCAAAAGGTCAACGAAAGCATACTTTTTTCTAGATGTGAATCTCTGATTAATTTGCACGTTGCTTTGTTTGCATGATATGATCTGTGTCTTTGCATTTTTATTCTCTCTCAATCGCATCATTCACATACACCAAACAACTATGTGTGTGGGAGAGAGAAAGGGAGAAAAGGTCCCATATGAATATATATGATGTCTGCACATTATCATCATATGACGGCAATAATTAAAATCTTCGAGGATTTGGTACTAAGTAAGCGCAAAAAAAATCATTCGTGCTTACCTGATTAGTATAGTTTTGCAGATAGTTACATGTATTCAGAATTTACCTTAAGATCTTATAATTGATAAAGAAGTGAATCACGAGAATTTACTTACAACCCTTTAAGTTTCACAACATTGTAAATATGTATTCATACGTACGGACTGTACATATTGTACAAACAAAGAAGTTGCAGACTTGCATAACAGCTCAGGTGGATCCAATTCGTCTGGTGGAAGCCAAAGAATACAGAAATAGTATTGCTTTAGTTCTCTATCTGCAGAGTTTGTTGTCACTGACTTTATATCCTCCTCGTAGCCAATGGCCAAGATGAATTCTGCAATTGCAAGGCAGGTAGGACGAATAAATATAATTGTCAGAAATTCCTTCATGCTATGCTCTTCCTAGATTTTTAAGATTTGGGGGAAACAAGAATGTGGAATTGGGTTGTCTTTGTTGGAAAAAAAAGCTGTTAGTTCGATTCCAAATGAGTGCATATAGAATGGCAAATAGGAATAATTTCCTTTGAATTTGTTCCATACAGTTTCACTGCATGTGCTGCATACGGTCCTCATGCAATCATCGATCTAAATTGAGCAATCTTGAACTTCCCATATATATATATATATATATATATATGTTGTCCTTGTGCATGGACAATTCCCTCATGAGAATACATTATTTTGTCCTATTATGTAAGCAAATGTATGGACCTAAGACTAAGAAATGTCAACAAAAGGGAGTATAAAATCAGGCCAAGGAATAAAGTTAACAATTAGGAAAAATATCATCTCCATCTATATGCAGTGAAATGACCTAAGACTACAGTTGCAATTTAAGGAAAACAAAGTCTAAATCAGACAAGTATTGGGTCCCAAGCAGTAAATGAATCTTGCATCTGGTGCTGAATTAAATTTGGTCTAATCTGCAGACATTGACATAGTCAAGTTGTCTAAAGCGAATATTCTCCTTACTATGCACCGAGTTCGAATTCCCTTAGATTATATTAAAATAGAATATTGTTTGTATCAAAAAATTTGGTCTAATCTTTATGAGAGATGGTATGGGCCAAATGTGAACTCCTTGGGCTATTTTGGGTTTGTTGAATAGGTACAATTTCTTCATTACCATTAGAAGTCCTAAATCTTACCAATGTCCTTCCCTCCAAAAAAAAATATGTATTACACCAAATGGGCTGAGCAAGGTTGGGCTTTTGAATATTGGCTAACCCTTGTGGTTGGACCAGACACCCAAAACTAATTTGGTCTTCCAAAGGGTTTTTTTTTCCTCCTCCTTTCTTTGTAAACAAAATTACACCATCAAGTGGTTCTTTTCTGCTACTGGAATGATAAGTGAAGATGACATCTTTGTCACATTTTATTATTTTAACCATCTCAATTTTATCATGCAGTGGGTAGTAAAGCAAAGAGATTTGAGGATAGAATTCGGCGAAGCATGTTTAATCACATCATTTGAAATTCCAAGAAGCTTATGAAAGATTTCAACTTCCAACTGCCATTAGAGTCAGAGTGGTGATGATGGGTTTGCAAATGCTCCAAGTGGCGCCACTGGCACCGCCCACTTCCTCCTCCTCATCTTCTTCTTCTTCTTGTTGGGTCCAAACTCTCCCACTCTGGTTCGGTCAACACCGCTGCCACCATTCTCGGCCTCACCTTGCTCTACAGCACCGGCACTCGTATAAAAGAGCTACACTTTTACTCGTTGCCAAGAAAGATAGGAAATTGCAAGCTTCGTCATCTTCTTCTTCAACTACCCAACAAGACCAGGATGATGATGAAGAGGAAGAGGAAGAAGAAAATGACGAAGATGAATCCGACCCCGACCCTGAAGACCTCGAATACGTCAGCCAAATCAAAAGGGTATGTTGCTTTCGTTCATTCTTTAATGGGTTTCTTTGCGTTTCACTCTTTCACTCACTCTTGTTGTTGATAGGTGTTGGAGCTTCTCCGCAAAAACAGAGATATGATTTTCAGTGAGGTAGAATATAAGTATAATTCAGTGAACCCCTTTCTTTTTGTGCTTTACCATTTCGTTATTTTGAATCTTATCAACTTTGTTATGGTATGCAATATGATAGGTTAAGCTCACTGTCATGATTGAGGACCTACGGGAAGTTGAGCGCAGGAGACTCCTTGGCATTGAAGATCCTGATGCCTCTACCAGGGAGGAATTGGCTGAGGTTCTTGAAGAAGTAAGCCCCTTCTTTTAATTCCCTCGCTACTACACTACTTTCATATATTATTAATTATTTGGAGTTGGGTTCCTGCCCATTGTGCTACAGCTACATTATGCTAGAGGAATTTTCAGTGCCATGATTCATGAAACAGCCGAAATTAGTGCACATGTGGATTAGTATTTTTGCAATGTTAATACTAGGTATCACAGTAGTATTATTAATTCAAACAAAGAATTCATGAATTCAATGAATCCAATTATGGATGAGCCACTTATATGGATTCAAGGAACTACTGCACAATTGGAGAGGCCTCATAAGCAATTTGTTTATTAAGTTCACCCAAACTATTAATAAAGTCCTTCACTTGGTTTGAAATCTTATAATTTACAATCAATTCATTCAATATTTCCTTTTTTAGAGGACAAATTCCCACATTGACGTGCACAAATTGCAACCTTCAACTAAGTAGTTGACCATTTTAATAGGACAACCTCTAGTAGATGCATCTTAAAGCTCCTAGTAATTGCAATCAGGATGGAATAGTGGCATTAGTAGAGTGCTGGCTGGCCACTGCCATATTTCTTCCATCACTGGTGTGAGTGACGAACATATACGGAAAAATGACTGGATGATGAATTGCCATAAACTACATGTGCATCTTTTGATATGTCAAAAGCACACATGTTCTAAGAGAAAATCTCTCTATCCTCACCGGTTTACTCAAGTCATGAAATATATGATCGTTGATGCATAAATGTGCTCCAGCTATATTGGAAATTTTGAGTTTGATTTTTCAGATAGGTGCAGTCATTAAGTCATCAACCCATATTATACATTATGTGGCGCTTCTGTAGTTTAGCCTTTGCTTCATATTTTTTTACATGATACGAAGGAAAACCAAATTTTCATGGCTGTTGTGAAGGTTTCTGAAAATGGTATTAAGGTGGAAAAATTGGATCAAAAAAACATTTCCTTTCTTGGTATATTTTATTGTTTTTCAAGATTACTGTAGTTAGAGATATGCTTTTCAAAAATAAGTTGGCAAGTGTTGGGGAAGTTGTAAGATAGATAATCAGCATCTAAGGAAGCAATACATTTCCTCTAAAGAATAAACAAAGCTAGTTCAACTACTTATGGACCTGTAACAACTGATGTAGCAGGAATTGTGGGTATCATAGCTCAATCTTGAGTTTGATAAATTGGTCTTTATCATTGTGTTTTAATATCAAAACTTATTTTGTTACAAACAGTATATTATCAGATGTTTGTTTTATAATATGGCATTAAATTTCTCTCTCTAAGTGGGAACTATTCAATAATAGCTTATGTAAGTGTGAGAAAAAGAGATTCGTATTACTGATAATGGTTGGATAAAATCCTTGGCATCTTTAGTATAATGATGAAGGAATATTCAAAAATATGAATTGATTGTTGAGTGACACTAATTTGAATAAATTGAATGTTATGTCATTACAACTCTTTGCTTTGGTGTTCATAACCTTCTGAAATCATAAGAGAGAGGAAAAAATATATTTGGCATCTGTAAATTGTTCAGAATTAATTCAATTTATTGGGACACTAATTTGTGATTATTGATTTAGGTGAATGAAGGAAAAATCCCAAGAAATCGACTTGCTCTTAAACTGCTGGCTGAGGAAATGAATCAATGGCCTAATCTCGAGGTATTATTGTAATTCAAGTATATTAATGATTGATTTTAGAGATGCTTTTTACTGTGTAATGAGTAGATTATCATAATTGATTGGCTTTCCATGTTTGCCTTAATTCATGGAATGGTTGATGTAGTACAGCCCGTAGGTATTAGAGTAAGCACTCAAACAATAGAACATAGAAGAATATCGGAGGTCGAGGAGACAAAAATATAGATCGAAGGGACGAAAGAAAGGACCGAAATCAGAGAACCGAGAAGGAAGAACAGAAATCACATAGTTTTAAGAGAAGGTTTACTCAATATCCAAATCTGAATTTTAAAGAACTAGATGGGGGTATTTATAGCAAACTAAAACCTAGACATAATAGGATAAAAATCCCTTGCTTAAACAGAAATCATAACCCAAATACAATAGGAAACTTAAAACTAGAAATCTGGAAATCTGGAAAAGTAAAAATCCTACTAGAATTTGGAAAACTAGAGAATCTAGGAAACTAACAAATACATTCGGAAACTAATAAATTTAGGTCCTACGTGTCCTGCATCAATGGTCCACTTTGTTTCCTCTGACAAAGACTTGTTACTATGCCTATAATTCCCTCATGATAGGGATAAAGGTGGTACTGCTTGCCAAATTATGGTAATACAAATTGCTCATCGTGATTTAATAGTTGACCTATCTGCATGCAGCCATGGAAATTAAAATCAAAATGGTTTTGAACTCTGATCTATATTGGAAGACTCTCATTTTATCAATTGTTCCAACTATAGGTTACTAATGTAGGGGATGATTAATTTAGAACAACATGAAGCACTAGACAAGGAGACTAGGATAAAGAGCCAAGCTCTGAATTGCACTAAGAAAAAAGTTTGTAAACCGTAGAAAAATGTGATTTTGAAACCACTCCAGCGTAAATGTGGTATACTTTTGTTCCAATATTCATGTCTCAAATTTTTGGTGATCAGAAAATTTGCTTTTTCATCCCCTATTTTCTATTTCTGAAAACAAATATAAAGAATTCTTTTCATGAGATGACTCACCACTGTTCTTTCATTTTTATATAAGTTTCTAACTGACACTGGATATCAATTTGCTCAGTTGTTCCTATATGTTTTTTTTTCTGGTATAGGTTCAGATTAAACCAGCGAAGAAAAAGCCTGGCAAGTCCCTATATGCGAGAGTGACAGACACTGGTATTGATCTTCAAGAGGCTGCTAAGAGACTGAATATTGATTGGGATACAGCTGCCGAGATTGATGATGCTGAACTCAGTGATGAATCAGAAGTGCCTCCAGTTTTGGTTAGTTTCCTTAGCTTTCTCGTGATAAAATGATGTTATTATGTTCTTGCAATTGTCAGATTAAGGAGAACCAGGAATAATAACTATTAGATATCTACTGCTGAGTATGCTTTGATTTTACACTAAATGAGATGATGTTCTCAAATTTATTATTCCTTTCAACAGAAAAGTAAAAAGGATAAGTATATCATCATTACAATAATTAATCAATGTTTAGAATATGCAATCCGTATCATTTAGAACTAAAATACTTTGAAACCTTTACTTGATTTTATTTTAAAAAGACGGATTCATAATTTTCTGGTTTAGCTAATCTTTGGTTATTAAGATGGGGTTTATTACCTTGCAGGGCTATGGAGCACTGTACATAGTCACGGCTTTCCCAGTCATTATTGGTGTATCAGTGGTATTAATTTTATTTTATAATTCACTACAGTAGAAATCTTGTCTCACTGTCATATTTCAATGTACAAAATATCTATGCCTTGCAATATAATTTTCTGATCCTAACATGAGTTTGTACATCGTAATGAGAATGGCTAATGATAAATCTCATGTTTTTGTGTATTCTGTTGAGGGCCTTGTGGGGTTTGGCTGACCATTGGCTTGCACCTATGACATGAAGGTGCATTGCCATGCCATCAATTGTTTACTTTATATTTCGTGTCTTCCCCCGCATTCTTGCTTGCATGTATGAATCTTATATATGCTGTTGTTGCAAGCACATCAGAGCTTATAGATTATTTAATTACATCCTAATGCAGGCATCCCATCCCCTTGGTACCTAGGAGTTCATTATTGAATATAGTAACAACTCCAACCTGTTACAAGTCAACTCTCTTTCATATTAGATTATATGATGAAAACAGAGTTATTGTAGGGATTAGAAGTTAACTCATTCTAAATAGAATATGGAGTAAATAGAGAACATGGATATCACTACTAGATGTGGATTAGTGGAGGGTATGCTGCTCACGTCTAAGGTCCCATAAGTCTCTTTTTCCCTCCTTTTTAAGTAGACTCCAATCCCACACCTCATCCTCAGGATTTCATTTCTGCCCTTCTCTACAATGGATTATCCAGTTTCATTTGAAATGAGTGAGTGCTTCTCTCTTGGAGATCTAGAAAAGCAGATTTCTGTAGATCCAATATCACTGAAAGAATCATCTAACAGAGAAGTGATTGTTGACCCAGTGGTGGTGAAGCCTGTTGTTACCGCTCCCCCTGTTGTGACAGCTCCAAAAGCCAATGCACTTGACCAACTGCCACCCCTACTGCCTGCAAAGCCAAAATTCTTAAGCTTCAGTCTCCCGAACTCGGCAACCTCCTCGCCGCGATTGAAGAAGAAATGGAAAGATGAAAGCCAAGCATCTCCCCAGCAGCAAATGGAGAATCTGACCCACTTGCAACAAGAAATTCAATTTAGGAGGAGCAAGTCATGTGGTCAAGGAAGAGCATGTGCCCCTTCAGATGACTTTGATCTTTGGCTGATCCAACCAAATGCCACTGAAAAGGTCACCAGGCATTACAGCAGCCTCCCTAGAACCGAGCCCAACAAAGTTGCTCATAAAAATGGCAAGAAAATGAACCCCTGTGATGATAAGTTCACATGTGGAGCCCTGTGCTTGTTCATTCCAGGCTTTGGCAAGGCAAAGCCAGTGAGAGCAAGGAAGGTAGAACCTGATGAGCTGGGAAATGTCATCTCCAGGACAGTTTCCTTGGAAAAATTTGAATGTGGCTCTTGGGCATCAGCTATGATCAATGAGCATGATGATGACTCTGTTAGTCACTACTTTGATCTTCCACTGGAGCTAATAAGAAGCAGCATCAACGACACGGATTCACCAATTTCTACATCTTTTGTGTTTGACACTGATAGAAAAGGAGTTCTGAAGAATGGCTCCTCAAGAACACAAGGCCGGAAATCACATGAAGCCTCACGCCATGTTCGGTTTTCAACATCATCATCTCCTACATCACCGACCGTTTGCGTTACACCTCGACTGCGCAAAGCTAGGAATGATTTCAAAGCTTTCTTAGAAGCACAGAGTACATAACTTCCTATGTTTTTTGGTATAATTGTAGTGGATTTTTTTTTTGTCTTTGATCTGATATGAAATAACATGCACATAACTGGAGCTATTTTGTTACGATAGTTATATTACAATGCTACACATTTGTGCAGGTCGGGTTGGCATTGGGCCCATGACTGGGCTCGGGTTGGGTTCTGAAGTGGGTTGGGCTGGTTGGATCCTTCTATTTGGAAGTTTAGGACTATGGACGTTCTTTTAGTCCACTAAACGAAAGAGTCATTTTATAGTGAGGGCAGGCCATATACAATGGCCTCGATATAGAATTCTTGCTGAACGAAAAGATTGGGTAACCCCAAAAGATTAGGCCAATAGAAACAAAAAATTATGCCCCCCAAGCTACCCGAAGACTTCACTTGAGCAAGGAGGCTATAATGAGTTGGTCTTTAATAGCCATTCGATTCAGTGCAGAATTATTATTGAACCGTTGGATTAAACTCCTTCATTGTAACCCCTCAATATAGCCCTTCATTATAGAGGCTCCCTCATTTGAGCCCTACGCGATGGACTAGACAAGGTTGCAACAACTCGTTATGTGGTATTTGAATCGTGTCAATTTGAGTTCTTGTCAAATAGATAGAAGTCATCTCTAATCCCATCAATTTAATAAAAGCCAATTTCATTGTACATTGTGACTGTAACATTTAGGGTTGGATGAGTAGCATTTTGCCTTTATAAACAGTGTTTAGTGACGTACTTACTAATCATACTATTCCATAAACTAACCTCAACAAAAATTGAGCCCCTCGGTCCCATCACTCGCCAAAGACAAAACTCAGTTAGCTACCCTTATGAAAGTTCCTGGTTCGGCCCTTGCATGTACTATAATCCAGCTAAATAAACTTTCCCACAATGTGCCACCTAACGACTATTTGTTTCCCTATCACATTCGCAGGTTAACATATTGCATCCGAACACTTGGAATATGAAATGATTAGCTTCCTGTCAAAGCTAACATCAATCTGTATCACGTCAATAGTAATGCAAACATAAGTCCACCACGCAAAGAGAAAAGTTGGACATTTAGACAAAGAAATGGGCCCTTTTTATTTACTATGACTAATTTCTAATATTAATTTTCATTTTTACGCCATTTATTTCGCGAAATTGAACGATAACGTGTACAAGTTAATTACCTATGAAACAACTTATTCCATGAAGTAAATGAGCCCTTAGAATTCGTAAATCCCATGTTCAAAGGGTTTGACATTGAAACTTTTTCAATTATCACCATAGAGGATCTTTGGAGTGTTGAACAAAGTCTCGTGCCTTTCGCCCTCAAGCATGGGTTTGCAGTTGAAGCCTGGCAAAAGGGTAAGATCACCCAAATGGAAAATAAGAAATTGGTTTTGTGAGGGTGAGGCATTTGAAAAAGAATTCCTAGGTCACATGTGTTCATGTGATGTGTGCCCCCACCATTTTTGACAATTATTAACTGTAATATAGTACTACTAGCACTAGCTCTAGCTGGACCATGATTTCATTATTCTTGGTTATACAAAAATTAAATGTATTTTTTGAAATTCATGACAATATTTATATGAATAATGCTACACTTATCACATTTCTAATTAAATTTTAATTGATGTAGATGTCCACCTCATCTGCTACGTGATATGAGAATGTGGTATACAAATATGACATGAGTATATTTCTGTGCGGCCATCACAAATTAAATATTTTTAAAAACTATAATTGTAAGGTGATGAGTGGTTCAGTTTTCAGTTAGCTGTTAAACATTATTTCATGAAATTAAATAAATTTCATTATTAATTGACATTATATTATATTATTTACCTAACTCACGGCATTTAATTATTGTTATTACCAATTTTTTTCATTTTTTAATAAGGTACTTAATATTAACAAGATTATGAAAGTTGAAAGCGAAAGTCTGGCAGTGCCAGCTGCTATACAATCCAGACTTCCACCGCTGCTCATGGGCCTCCTATTTCTTTCTAAATTATTGAACAGACGCAAAAGGCAAAAGAAACACAGCCAGCCAGCCAACCAAGAAACACAAAACACTGTCGAGGCTCACACGCCCTCCAGCTCTGACTCTTTGTCAGCAATCAACCCAAAAACTGATTGCATATATATATATATATATATATGCAATAATTTTATGGAATCGACAATCTAATTTTCCCAAATGGGTTTTTGTTTATTATTATTTTTATGAATATTATCTTTTTTTTAACAATATTTTACTTTAAACTAATTTAAATTACTAGAAGGGAATTCGAAGTCGGGTGCTGAATGGAGAGCACATCCACTTGAGCCAACTTGACTAAGAAAAAGACGGATATTTTTTTATACATTATTATCTTTCTTCACAAACAATCACCAGTAAAGTTAGGACTTTAAGCTTGACTAACCATCATGTGATGAGAGAATTACGGCTGCGGAGAATTTAATTAAGAGCTTAAGTGTGAAAAATGTGAACCATATTGTTCATTCATATTATAATGTATGGACGAATTATATTATAGGATGGGATGGGAGTATCCTACAATAAGGTGTTTATTTTTATATTTTACAATGATGATATTCTAAATTATTTTCGTACACGGAAGAAGGTTGAAACTCGAATACAAAATATTACATTGACTGACTAACCTAACTCACGTTTACACCATAAAATAAATTTTTAGTACAAAGTTAAATTATAAAACTGCACCACAATTTAATGAGCAGCAACAACAATCAATGCCAGAGAATCTGCAAACAAAAATAAACTAGGGCATGGGGCTTTGTACTTTAGAAAAGAAAACGGTGTATCTGTTTTCATCGCCGCTTCTCTGGGAGCTTGAGTGATGCAGAGGGCAGCGTCAGTCAGAAGTATAATAAATACCAAGTAACTCTTTTGTCTCATAAAGACATCTTTGGCACCTCCACCGTATAGTAAACAAACCAAATATTAAATACTACGTTACTGGTCGCATTAATTAAAATTTTAAAAAAGGGGATTGGTTGGGGCCATGGGACCCACAACCCACCCACCCCAATTATTATTTTTAGTTGCCGTTCTTTAAATCTGCCACGCTCTCATTCAATCTTGGACTTATATTTAGAGCCATACTCATTTATATTTGCATTAAATTTTTTCATTACGAGGATGGAGGGGTCTTCAATTGGCACCCTCTCTTCTGTTGCTGGCTTCACGGGTCTTCATAACTGGTGGTAACATTGAATGAAAACTCGATGCACTTTCGCGTAATATACATTATTGACTCATTCTCTTCTCTTGCATAAGTTTTTACAGCGTGTTAGAGCGTAATAGTCTAATTCCGTTATTATCTAAAACTCGACTTAAACTATCACCGTGATGAGAAAGTTAAGAAAAGTCTTAAATTGCTAGCTAGCATAGAATTATGAGGAACCCTCTAGAGACAGGACACTATTTCGCCGAACTATTGATTGATTCATCCCTTCCTTTCTTTTCCTTGCTTGCTTTCTTTCCTAATTTTGTCCATGTGTTAGTTACAGGATGAGACATTCCAAATGACACACCCCACCTGCTCCTTTTGACTTCGTCTCATATTGGATAAAGCTAACCCTTTTGTGATTTTTTTGAATCATTCCAAAACCCATATGGTCCATGTTCATCATCAAAATCACATATGATATGCAGCCTTTCTTTTCTAATAGGCAAAGCGAGCTCAAATCTTGTCTTGGCAGCAAGGGGGCTCTCCATGTATTTGATTGATGCAAAACTTCAAGATTAATCTTCGGGGGCCGCATTTGATAAAAGCTAATAATATTTTTTTTCTAAAAAGGCGCAAAACACCTTTTTTACTTTAATTTATTGGTGATTAGTATATGTTATTATGTGATGCTTTAACATCGGATGCCTCAGAAAATTTAATGCTTGGAAATGTAAAAAGCTCCAAGGTTTGTTCTGTTCACTTTGTCTTAAGCTGTGGATTTATCTGTTTGGTCAAGAAGAAAAAGAAAAGAAAAAGGAAAGAAAAAAAAGAGAGGAAAAGCAATGATAAATCCAGGACGACACAGAAATGGAAAGTGAGATGGCAAAATAAAGCTCATTTGACACCAAAGCCACCTTCAATGGGTGCAGTTCATGTGGTCCCTCCAGACCGACAATCCAATTCAATCAACTTTTTAAAATATTATTTATTATTATTATTAAATTAAAAAGGAATCAGAATAACAAAATGAAGAAGAAAATGAAGAGAGAAAAACTAATATTTGCCTCAAAAGCATGTGACATGTCCATATACCACCACCGCTTGTATCTATATATACCTTTACTGAAAACTATTATACAAGGAAGAACTCTGAACCCTAAACCAAAGAATTTCCTGTTCTACAACTGTAATTAAACATTAAATTACCAAAAAAAATAAAAGAAAAAAGAAAAAGAACAATGCAAAAGAAAAAGAAAAAGAAAAAGAAAAGTGAAAAAAATTTATGTGCTCTCATTGCCTGGTCTTTTGTAACCTGTTTCCAATCATTTTGAGCTCGAACCTCTTGACAGAGCCAGCAACATCTCTCATGGTGGTGTCCATAACATAAGGGATTTTGTCAACGTTTGTCTCAGTCGCGTTGACTAGCTGCCTGCATGGCTCACGCCTGTTGGCAATGGTTCCATGGTAATGGAAGTATTTGATCCTGTTCTCTGTCTTGTGGGTCGTCTTCCCTGCTACGTTCTGTGACATGTGCACTCCCGTGGCATACACATTACGCGGTTGCACTGCGTATTTTCTGTCCCTTCTAATTCCTCTTTTCACATCTTTGTACACGAGTTTCTCAAATCCCCATTTCCTGCACAGTTTCACAATTTCACATCAGAATGTGAACATAAATAAGAAGAAGAAGAATACCATGCATCTAAACACAGGATAGCAAAGCAACTGGTAGACTTTGACTTGTTTATTTGGAAACAACTTCTTGTTGTTTTCATGTTGGTTTTTGGCCAAATATTGACCGAGTTCTATACTGGATTCTAGATCTAACTCCTAAATATATTATCAAGCTAGCAGACAGACAAAGAAAATTACCCAGTGGGGTTAAAAACTTAACACACCTTCTTTCTCAAGTCCCAACAAAACAATCCTAATCTTCCTAGATTTTTATTTATTGTTTTCTGATCATGATCAGCATCAGTCTTAATCTCACTTAAATGACAACATCATACATGATTCTCTCGTTGTCCTTCTGATGATTCATTTCAACACTCCAATCCTTCATTTCCATGTAACATCATTTGGTTATTGAAACTTTCGAAACATCTTGTAGAAGAAGGAAAACTGGAGATTGGAGGATGGTTCTAATTCTTTACCACTTGAAAATTTGTAGAGATTAACTATTCAAGTTCAAACATTGCACCAATAATTTCCCATTGCCAGAATTAACATGATTTTGATAATTGGGATCATGTTTCTTATAGAGGAAAAGAACATCAATTGTTGAAGATTGGTTCAGATGTATGCTCACAACATAAAGGAACAGTATCATATAGATGGGTGAAAATACTATTAAAAGAATATATTACGTCTTAGTCATGAATAATAATAAAACAGTCACTTTAGAACAAAGCTGAAGCCCCACCCCACTACCACCTGCCCTAGTAAAATGAAGTGAAGAAGGACCCTTTAGCAAAAGCAGAGGAATGTGCCAAAAAATTTCATGCGTACGACCACTTGATCAAACTACAATTTCAACATCAATGTAAAAAAGTTCCAAAACACTCAACCACCAAAGAAAAACAAGGAGCCAAAAAATGTAATTTACAGAAGCCCCATAATGATGCTGCATACAGCCAAGGTGACATTATCATTCATGCAGTCTTTTTTATGCTAGGAATCCGATGCCCAATCGCCAAATAAATAAATAAATACATAAGATCAGAAACTAGCATCACAATGAATGGAACTGTGGAAATTTGGCTTCATTTTAACACCAGTGTGATCAATCCAAATGTCAATCCTTAGAAGTAAATGAGAAAAGCTCCACATGTCAAAATCGTTAACTAAAAATGCAGTTTTTATGAGCAAAATTATATGCAACACTTACCGTTGCTAAATCTAAGCAAATTAAATGCAAAAATTTGACAAAACCCAATTCACAGAAAGTAAAAACAGAGAACTTTCAGAGCAGAAGATGTGTACCTGTAAGTTTTTCCATAATCTGCAGAGAGGCAGAGCTTATTGCTCATGGGCATCTGTTCAATGGTGAACTGGGTGTAATCAGAGAGAGAATCAAGAACCGATTTAATAGTGCTCTTGGGTGGCATGTAGATGTACTCATCAACATCAAAGAAGAACATCCACTTCGCCATGAACTTATATCTATGCAAGCAATCATTCACCACCATGAACTGGTTGTGATAATATCCATCAAATCTCTCCTGCTCTCTAATGTCCTGCATGGTCACATAGCCCAGCTCCATCCATGGCTTCAACACCTCCAAAACCTCCTCATGAATCCCACCAGCATCATGAATCACAAAGTGAGATCTAGGTCCAAACAGCCTCACATGGTAAGCAATCCACTCCCTCACTCTCTGAGGACTTAAATTCCCATACAAAGAAGACCCACAATACAAATAATCATACTTGGGCCTTGAAGTGAACAAACCGGCGTTTAAACTTCCCGGTGCTTCAGTCAAGGCCTCAATTGTGTCGGTCGTGTTGAAGCTCCGGTCACCTCCGCCGGCGGTGGAGGCGAGAAGGAGCAATTTCCCGCCGGAGTTGTCGACATTGATGGGCTGGGAAAAAGTGCAGTTCACAATCACGACTGTGTAGACTCGGCCATAGCCCCAATCTGGGAGCATCTTGTACCCAACCGTGGAAATGGGTTGGCTTGAATTGAGATTGGGCACCCACTGGCATTGGTATTTGGGATTTGAGAAGACGTGAAGAGGCTTTGAGGCCAAACCTATAATGGCAAAAGTGTTGAGGCCTCCTCTGTAAGCACCCATGGTGACGAAGCTGTAAGCCGCCGACCCGTATGGGTTGAAAGCTCTTTTAATGACGCCATTGCCGAGCACCTGGTCTAGCTCAACAGAAGGCGGCGGCGGCGTCGGTGGAGGCGGCGGCGGTGGTGGTGGGAAAGAAGGTGCTGGTGCTGAGACTAGCTCTGCTGCTATGACTTGGTTGGCCGGGGCTTGGGCCTGGGACTGTGCTTGGGCTGGAGTAAGAACCCGGGAGATGCAGAAGCGGAGATCAGAGGTGGAGATGGTGAACCTTGACGGAATGAACTGGAGAAGAGTGGCTAATGTGCAGAGGATCAACAGAGCTGTTAGCAGTAGCTTCAGCTCTGCTGCGTAGTTCCATACAACTCCCACAAACAGCTTCTTCTCTTTCTCAGCTTTCTCTTTAGCCATTGATATGTACTTTGTTTTCTATTGAAAACCAGAGAGAAAGAAGAAGAAGAAGAAGAAGAAGAAGAAGCAGCAGAAAGTTTACTCCTCCGGAGAAAAGCAACAAGAGAATTTCTCTCTCTCCCTCTCTCTGTCGTTAGCAATTCTCCAAATTTTCAGTGTTATATATATATATATATACATATATGCGTGTGTTTCCCAGCTGTAATTGATGTGTGAAAAGTTTATTTTTTATTATTTACTTAATTCATTTGTGAATTTTTGTAATAAGCGGTGATTTTTTTTATTTTTTTTCCATATGTTGTGAATGCGTGATCATCGTTGGACAGGGAAAGCGCAGAGGCTTTTGACACACAGGTGTAATTTTTTGGCTTTTCAGGGGCAAACAAAACCAAGTAGGAACACTCCCGGTTTGAGGGGATTAGGAATCGCAACGGCTCCCTGGATCTCCAAATTTCTCAACCCACAACCCTAATTATGGTTTTTAGGTTGCTTTATTTGAGTGCCCAAACTCCATGGCCGGTCTCCATTTTGAAACAAATGGATCAAATGATTGTTGAATTGGAAACTAGAGAGATGTTTTTATTACTTTTCTCTCATATTTTTCTTATTTTCATTTTAAATACAAACGATCGTTGATAAAATTCTAAAGTTTTAATTCACATCAAATCCAAATTTGAGTTGATTTTAGTTGACATCAAATCCAAATTTTAATTGGTTTTACATCAAATTCAAGTTTTAATTGGAATGGGAAATCCTAACCGAACAAATTCTATTCGGAATTGAAATGACTAATTAACAAATGAACTATAAAGAAAAATCCAAATACTAATGGGCAAAGAAAACACCAAAGTACCAAAAATTTACACTCTTCTGCAAGCCAACAAAAATACCTAAACACTCCTTAAGAATAAAAAGCTTCAAGTAGCTCACAAATTTTTTTCGGGACATTTTGGAAAAAGCAAAAGGAGAGAGAAAAATTTTAAAAGAAGCAAAAATGGACAAAAATGCCCTTATTTATTTTTAGATTTCCTAAGGAATCCAATACATTTGCATGTCTTTAATTTGAAAGTTGAGCGGTTTTTTTGTCTTTTTTGAAAAAGCTTTGGCTTTTTCCAAAAGTGAAATTTTTTTTATGTCTAAAACCTAAAAAACCTTTTTCAAAACTAGCTTGGTGCCTCTTCTTGCACCCTTGTGTAATTTTGTTAACTTTTCTCCATGAGAATCCTTTTGAAAAATTGCTTTCTTTATGTTTTTCTAAAATAATAATAGTCAATTTAGTATTATGTCAGATTATCTGTAAATCGTACATATCAGTAAAATTTGAACATTCACACACCCTTAATAGTTGAAACGGATAATATGAATCTGAATTTACACTCTTCTCATATACACATATCAGCCTTCTAATCATCCCTGCGTATTTATCTTAATAATGAAAAAATCGATTTGATTATTTGTGTGTTGTAACCCAATAGTTATATTTATCCCTCATATACCTAGTTCCTCATTACTAGGAGACTCATAGTCTTGTCGGTATCTTTGACCTTATTTTTCGCTCAAAAATAAAATAAAATCCTTCATTATCGGATAGCAAGCCATGCAATTATGTCTTTCTAACGTATTACTTAAATTGTGGTGACACATTTGATTTTTAATTATTGGTAGCACCCTAATGAAATGATAGTCCATGTTATATTTGCTTTTGCTTTACTTTGTAATTCGGCCAACTGGCCAAGTTCTCCTGAACCCTTTTTTATTTATTTTTATTTTTATAAAAAAATAAGAGTAGTTCAAGCCGCAACCCCTGCCCTAGCAAAAGGCTGCCCATGCAGAGAAATGGAGCTTCAGCGGTCCAAAACAGCCCAGACAAGGCATGGACTCCACCAAAGCCCTACAAGGTCCGAAGGTAAAAACAATCCGAATTGTTGCATCGGAGCTCTAAGAGCACTTCCACCCACAAGGGCTAAGTCTAAAGCAAAGGCAAGCAAAGGCTGTCACTATTCACGTGAATAGTGTCAGCCTTTGCATTTGTGGTTCCACCCATGAGAGCTAAGTCTAAAGCAAGTCTAAGGCAAATACTATTCATATGAGATATGAGGAGATGAATTTGTATATAGTTTTTGGTGTGGTAAGTAAAGAATATGCCTAGGTATTTATTTAAAAAAATTCTGGAATTTTTGGTATTTTTTTTGGGTTGCTGACGTCATTATGACGTCAGCATTGCATCAGTTTGCCCTGGCAGCAGCTCGGGCTGAATTTGCCCTTGGGCCTGCCCGGGCTGGTGGAACCCACCATGAAACCAGGCTGCATCTGCTGCGCTGGAGGTGTCTTGGGCTCGCTAGGGCAGCCTTTCCCCCAGTTTGGGTATGGCGCTGGAGATGCTCTAAAGATCAGCAAAGAAAATAATTTTAAAAAAATGGAAAAAAATTCTAAAAAATTACCATAATATACATAATTTTTTTGTTTATTAGTCTCATGTGAATAGTAATTGTCTTTGAGTTGCTATTACAATAGGTGAAAAAATAATAAAAAAATGTCTATAACAAATACTATTCATGTGAACAATAACCGCCCTTACTTGCTCTTGTTTTTTGCTATGGCAAATGAGCATAAATGCTTTAAAAAGCACACAAAATTTGTACTTAAAAAAAAAAATTGTGATTCACAAGGTTTTGACTTTTCATTGTTGTAACACAAAGTCCAAAATTATGAATATTACCTTGTTAGTAAGGGCCATGGAAATGGTCTAAAAAATATGTTGTGGCGGGCCCAGGGGGGAATCAGCAAGGGGCGTCGGTGCGAAGTGATGGCGAGGGAGGTAAGGGAGTGACATGTGGAGGATTCTTCTGTTAAATAAGCGTGTCGACGCTGTCAAAAAGCCACCGCTGATAGACGACATCAGCTGGTGGGGACCGCGGTGTTTTTTCCCAATTATAAATATTTGTATCGATTATTTAATTTAAAAAAACAATTACGCTTTTAAATTTGGCGTAACGCGTGGCAAAAGCTGCCGCGCGGGCCGAGAAAGAACGTCCAACTTTCCTTCACTGATCAGTTTGAAGTTTTTATTTATTTATTTTTTTTTATGATAAGTCTATCTGTGAGAGGTTGGTCTTGAGTTTGTGACTTTTGTTGTTATTATTGGTATTGAAGGTGGACAATAGGACTCTTCTAAATATAACAATATACAAAATCATTTTGTATAAGGTTCTTATTATATTATGAAAAAATGTGTTCAATTTAAGGAAAACGATTTATAGTTTAGAATAAAAGCGATTTTTATTTCAATAAAAAAACTCGCTCGCTTATGAAATTGTTATTGACACATCAAAAAAGTTATTATGCATTTATATATACAGAATCAACTGATTTCACACGAGAGGAAATAACATATAGAGCAACGACCTCAATAGTTTGGAAGATATCTTAAGAAAAGGTTTTTAAAGGGGAAGTGCTTAAAAAGATGAAACATTCATAATTTCATAAAATGCACCTAGTGAGTGAAAATATTATTAAATGAACATTATACAGTAGATTAATACGCCCCCATCCCTCTTCCTATCGAATGACCAAAAAAAAATATTTATTTTATATAACTCATATTTTCATTGGACACAAGTAGACCTATTTTCATTGGACAGAAAAAACCAATTGACGTACTCGCGTGAGCATCATGTATTACATATAGGTGTATGTGTCCCTATATTTGTTTCTCTACGAACCTGCATTAGTTATAATTGATCAACATACTTAAATACGTTAACCGCTTGGAGAAAGTTAATTGACCTGAATATAAGGTCAAGTCGTATCCATTTACAAGTAACGAAATTAATTTTCTAATACTAAGTTCAATAATGGAGACAAAAGCATGCAGTTTAACGTAGTACGTGAACCATTACAACATCAGGTTACGTAGATTCTGTTCACAATATTAATTTTAGAGTATGGAACGTATTTTCAGGGAGAGCTATTTTGATGGTTTAGAACGTGAATGAATGAGGATTGGTGTTTTGCATAGTTTTTTAGGCTCTCATAAGAACTATCATGCCCAACTTTGCTTTCCTACAATTCTGGGTATGAAAAGTAAAAAGTCAAGGCTATGGCACAATATAAATATTGGTTAAGCTCGGGTGGTTAAATAAAAAAGAAGAAGAATGATTTGTGTGTGGAGAATTCAGTTCAGGTCAAGTCACTAAATGATGCCAAATATTAGGTCGAGTGTGTCTCTTCATAAAATTAAGATTGATACGTATAATTAAACATATGACATCTTAGATAGATGATAATCATTACGATCATATGATATTTTTTTTCCTCCTTTGGTAAATATGAAGATCAATCATGGCAATGCAATTTTAACTACGAAGAATAAGCCACGAATATTCAGAGGAGAGGAGGAGCCCAGCATTGTGCCTAAGTCCACCTTTCACATCGGCCATGTCCTTTGGAACTTTATTTACATAAATTTGTGCGTGCGTGTATTTTTGTTAACAGGTCATCCTGCCCATGCATGTTGTTGTCCATTCACAACAATCACAGGCACAGCTACGCACCAAATTATTCGGCCGACAGCCCAATCAAGTCACCCATCCCGCTATAATAGGGGTCTCCTTTTATTGAGAACCCACCACCAGGGTGGGTTGCGTGGACAAGGTGTGACTCCAATAAATAGACCGTCGCTTGATTGTGAGATTGGACAGACGATCGACATGGTAACAAATTAAATTTTTTTTTTGGGCGAATCAGTAGAGATTCATTAGAAGAACAGAGCACAAACCCAGGATACAACAGTAAGAAGACAGTTCCGAAAGGAGGTTCTTGCAATACAGAGACTGTAACAACAACACCAACTAAGCACAAGTATTACAAGATAGTTAGAAAACAAATATACAACTTGAAACCCAGTTAACAAGGAGTTACTGACGAGGAGGACCCTAATTCTACAGCAACCAGTGCTTTAATAAGATCAAGATAGAGAACAATCTCTCAAACTTTATGGGACAGGAAACACCCTAAGAGTGGAGGGCATAACCGCTCAACTTCCACCAGGACATTCCAAATAATATCACAGTATCTCCTAATCCCCCTTGATCCCCAAGCACAATAAGAGTAGATCCACCAAAATCAGCAGCTTCACCTCCAATACATAGAGATCTACACGAGATCTACCACAAAAATAGAAGATCTAGCAAGATCATCCAATAACCACCCCCAAAAGACTGGGATACAAACCCTCAAGAAAAAGGGAAGAAACAAAACCTTGCAAAAGCAAGGAGCAGACAAAACCCAACAAAAGTTAGGAGGGAAAACCTCTCCACAACATAACCTGGGGGGGAGAGAGGCCCGGATTATTAACCGAAGGGGGTGGTTCCAAGGGATCCCCTGGAACCAAGGAGATTTACAAATGTTGAGTTGGGGGAAGAAGAAGAGTCGAGAAGAAACGGTCCCCTCCTTTTGGTTGTTTTTTTTTTCATAATGGTAACATTTAACATTTAGGTTTTGCTTGGTTTACTTAAAGAAATTGACAAGAAATCAATCCTTATGTATTTTCTCATTCCTTTCTCATATTTGGTAATGGTTGTCTTGATTTTCTCATTGGAATGGAAAATGAAACCCAAAGTAGTTCGAGGGTTTCATTCCCCCTCCTATTTTCTCATAAACTAGCAAACCGTTTTTCATGTATGAGCTTACCAAAGATGCCGAAGCCCTTTTTCCTGCTTATCAAACGCAACCTTAGGGAATATTAGGTTTGTTTATGGAGTGGATTAAAACGTTTCTAAATAATCAAAAACACTTCTAAAACTGTTTGATATAAAACTTTATAAGCTTGAATCATAAAAACACCTTTTACTACGTATTGTATTTAAGAAACACATGATAAATGCTTCTTTGAAAATAACTTACTTTGACCCAAAAAGAAAAATTAAGAAGTAGTTACTTTTTCCAAAAACCACTTTCATTTCTAATTGAAATTTCAACGTGCATAGCCAACGGAGTCTAGCCCAATGAAAAATGACATTGACTTGCAAATCAGTGATTTTAAGTTAAAATCCCTATGACACCTTATTAGTGTGTAAGTGAGAAGCCCCCTTTACCATATTGTTTAGACTCTCATTTGTACTTAAAAAAAAAATCAACTTGCATAGAAGTCTAAGATAGTTTTCGAAAACTTGGAAGTTTTAAGTCGACTTTGTGCTTTCATATTCCCCTACTGGATCAGTTTTTCTGTAGTTAGGCCCAAACTAATGGGCCAGCAGGAGTTTCAAAACCCGAACACAAAAAGAAGGAAAAACAATAGAAACTTTTGAGGCCCAAAGTAGGCCCAATTTCGAGCCCTGAAGCGGGAGCTCATTAGGGTTTCGTCATAAAGTGGAGGTATATAGAGCTGCGACTGTGAGTGTTTGTAGTTTACATAGATCATAGAGAGAGAGAGAGAGAGAGAGAGAGAGCGGCTTCGGACTTGGGACTTAGGAGCAGCGAGGGAGGGTCGGCAGCCGGCGTAGTTCACCTGACAAGATGGTTCGTATTTCATTTTTCGATGGCACCTTCATCTATGGCTTTTCTTTGAATTTGCATACCATAAATTCTAGAGCTTGGACAATTAAACTTTTATAAGTCGAATAAAGCTTGTGAACCCAGTTCTGCTACTTCTTGTTGTACCAATTCTTTAGGGTCCGAAAATTGATACCTTGTTTAGAGCTGATTTGTTTTTGTTCTGGTTAGCCCATTATGGAAAATTGTTTGATTATGGTATTCTAAAAGATGAGAGGGGAGAGTAGGCGAAGACAAGCGATGTAACTGTAAAAGAAATTTTAGGCACTGTATTTGATCGAAAACCCGTATGGCTGTATGTGAATTATTGGATCTTCATGTCATCTTGAATGTCATGCATTTGAAGTGGGATAATTTGATTTGTAGACCTATATTTGGGTTTCATTTTCTTAATTTTATTTCCTTTCCACAACAGGCGCGAGGATTGAAGAAGCATCTGAAGAGGCTCAATGCCCCGAAGCATTGGATGCTTGACAAACTTGGTGGTGCATTTGTAAGTTTCCTTTTGAGCTGTGCAGTGTTTGGTATTTCATATAACGTATTCAATGTGCTAGTTGAGAATTTTAAATGATGTGTTTTCTTTTTTCTTAGGCTCCCAAGCCTTCGTCTGGACCTCACAAATCCAGGGAATGCCTGCCATTGGTCATCATCTTAAGAAACCGATTGAAATATGCTCTAACATACCGTGAGGTCATTTCCATTTTGATGCAACGACATGTTCTGGTTGATGGGAAAGTTAGGACTGATAAGACCTATCCTTCTGGTTTTATGGGTATACACAGCACTTTATTCTTTGATATATTACTGCTTCATCTGTTCTTAAACATTATTCATGTTGTATCAATACAATGATTGGTAATTAATTAGAAGCATTTTCTTGGTTAATCTTGCTCTGTAGTAACCAAGTGTTGGCTACTATGGAAGAAAAATCTTTTAATTTGGACCTATCTTCCATATATTAGGAAGTTTACATATATAATATCAATTAGAGAATGTTTCTAGTATCATAGGAAGTTTGTATGTTTGTCCTTCGTGCGCATTTTTGGTATAAAGTGGCCTTTTTGATGGTTGGAGCATGACCAATACATGTCCCGGAATAGGCAGTCAGTACATATTGCTTGTAATTATAGTATTTTTGTTATTGTTATTTTTGGTTGACATGAAATGTAATACTTTTTGAGCATTCTGCTTTACTCTTACAGATGTTGTTTCAATCCCCAAAACAAACGAAAACTTCCGTCTCCTCTATGACACCAAGGGTCGGTTCCGTCTCCATTCAATCAGGGATGAAGAGGCAAAGGTGTGTTGATGTTCTTTACTAGAGTGACTCTACTTTTCTGAGGTCATATAATCTCTGGATGTGAATGATTCATTATTGTCAGATATAGAATCATTCAAGTTGTCCTGCCTAAATATTTTGTTCATGATAGACTTATTTGAGATGAGCAAACACAGCTATAACACTGTATGCCATTCTTTTAAGTTTTTCTATATGGAAATGTATGGAATCATTCAAGGTCGCTGGCTGGAGATCTGTTCTCCATGTGGAGAACTTTGTCTCATGTACATGCCATTTCAAGTCTGTATATATACATTGTCAGAAAATATTGAAAGTCTTGCTTGTCCAGGATAATATGATACTCATTTTATTTGTTTTTAATCAAAGTTATGGATCTCATGAGGTAGAGTGCTGATATTGGAGTCTGCATTTCTTGCAGTTCAAGCTTTGCAAGGTCCGGTCTGTGCAGTTTGGACAAAAAGGTATCCCATATATTAACACCTATGATGGGAGAACAATCCGTTACCCAGACCCTCTCATCAAGGCTAATGACACCATTAAGCTGGACTTGGAGACCAACAAGATCACCGACTTCATCAAGTTCGATGTTGGTAATGTCGTCATGGTGACTGGTGGAAGGAATAGAGGCCGTGTTGGAGTAATCAAGAACAGGGAGAAGCATAAGGGAAGCTTTGAGACAATCCATGTCCAGGATGCAAGTGGACATGAATTTGCCACTCGGTTGGGCAATGTGTTCACAATAGGCAAGGGGACCAAGCCATGGGTAAGCCTTCCCAAGGGTAAGGGTATTAAGCTCACCATTATTGAAGAGGCCAAGAAGAGGCAAGCAGCCCAAGCCGCAGCCACGGCTTAAATGGTCGTGTGTGAAAACAATCTTTGAACTTATTTTGGCGATGTTCACTTTTATTCTTGTAGTCTTTACCTATTAGCTTTGGAATTTATGATGCAAATTTTGTCTTGTTTATTTTGTCTCTCGTTTCTCATCTTGATACAAATAATTTAGTTGTTTCAACCCCGACTTTAAATTCGTGTTACTTTTAAAGTAAATTTTTGCCTGGCCATTTGAATGGTGTCTAGTTATTCCTGGTCGTGCACCTACGTTTGTGAATGAATAATGTTTAATTTAAAAAAAATGTTATTTATTGAAAACAATAAAAGCACACTAAGAAATACAATGGATGGCAAGAAACTATCCAAAGCCCAAACATAACGTAGGAGTGAGGAACAAGAGCGTAATCTTTGTTGTGGTATTTACAAGTGGACAACCAACGATCTTCCAAGTTAGAAAACAGACATGTATTATTTCCTTGTATGTAATGTTTTTCTGTTTCATAAAGAAAAATCCTTCTATGGAGATTGGACGTTGGAGCTTCCTTCCTTGACAAGGTTTAAAACCTATGCGTGCGCATTTTGCAAAACAGTTTATTGGAAAGCAAAACACAGAGAGAGAGAGAGAGAGAGAGAGAGAGAGAGAGAGAGAGAGAGAGAGAGGGTTTAGGTGAAAGCTTGACTTGGCCTGGAACTCTAGGGCTAGAGTAGAGAGCCCATAAATCCTTCTTGTTTTTCATTTTTCTCCCAGAACGAAAACGGAAACGAAAGCACTTCTCTCTCTCTCTCTCTCTCTCTCTCTCTCTCTCTCTCTCTCAAATTCGGTATATTTCTTGGGGTTTCAGGAATAATATTCAGAGAAGCAAAGTCTCTGGTGAGTTTCGATTTGTTTAACACAAGCACATACGAATTGGAATTTGGAAGTGGGGTGGTTTGGTTTTGTTTTACTTTGCCAATAGATATACTGCTAGTTTTGTCTTGGTAAATTTTCATGTTTTGCTGCACCCATATTTCATTTCATTTGTAAATTTTGTGTGCTTCGGTTGCAAGTTGCAAATATGAATTTTGCTTCGTGTGCTTCGTGTGCTTATGCTTGGGAGGATTCTGCAGAGTTAGTTCGCTTTTTGATATTGTGAAATGGTAGGCCTTTGTCAATCTTTAATACTTCTTCCTCACTGGTTTTGGATCCTCTGCTTTTTGCCTTTCACCCAACTATATTAAGTGAGATATCTCTTTTTTAATTTCACCCAGCTATTTTGAGGTGAAAGTTTGACCTTAAACCTCAAAAATATGGCTGAGCTGAAAATAAATATCATTTTCTGTAATTTCAGGGACATTATTTTGGAAGTAGATTCTTCAGTCCTCTCTCTCTCTCTCTCTCTCTCTATATATATATATATGTATAATTTTCCTTTTTTTCTGGTAATGAAATGGTGCCAGTCTTGGGAATGTCAACTAAACTTTAGATCCACCAAGCCCATGGCTAAGATTCCCCTCAAATCATGGAACTTTAGCTGCATAGAATTACAGCCATGTCTTAACTGTCATCTATATGCAAATGTTCTGCACAAAGGTAACAGCAAGATAAAAAGTAGAAAAGATAATCAGAGATCACATGGAGAAGATGCCTGAGCTTGGCTCAGGATTGAAAAGGCATTAAAGGCAAATAGAAAGAAAAAGTATACATGTAAAATAATACCAACTCTGTAAAGATTAATAAAAACCCAAACTTGATATTAATTTATGATACAAATCTCCCAAAATGTTAGAACCTAGAAGCAAAGGGGAAAAAAAAACTACAAGCTGAGAAAATGATGTAATGAAGCCTTTATAGAAGAGCTGACAATTCTTATCCAGTCCAAAGACCAAGTTGAAAGAGATGGTAGATGGACATATCATGGTCCATGGCAGGGCAGGGCCAACAGTCCTACCTGCACTGATTATTCTTCACAATCTGTTAAAAGCAAAGCAAATAATAGAGGGGATGTGGTGGCCACAACAAGCAAGTGAAAGCTATTTGATCCCATACACTTGCCATTGCCTGCCCACCTGCACATGCTCTGCTTGTCTTCCTATGCCCCTCTTTCCACACCTTTTTTTAACTAAGCATCTCATTCCAATTTAGCCCTCTCAGGCTCCCACCAAGACTTTTACAACAGCTAATATAAATACACACAACCAGAGTACATAGCAACTTCTAGATTTTAGAGTTAGAGATAATAAGCTTATTATGCTTATTGGGTCCTAGTCTATGCCACACACATATATATACGTTCATCTGTAGCTGTCTGTTCTTGTAGATTATTTTGTGATGTGAAATTATAAAGCAGCAGGGGCTGCAGAAGCTGCACATTGGAGGTGCCGTGGGCAGGTGATCAAGTGGTCATTTGTGAGGCCAGCTGCTTGCATGAATGAGTGAATGACTGTGGGACCAACAAGCCTAAAACCCCTTCTAACCATGTCTTTGCTTATGCTCTCTGACTTGGAGTTCTTCACAGGGATCTTGTGGCATGACTTGTATTGGGTAGATACAGGCTTGTGATTCACAAATCCCCACAAGTACTTGTCAAATGATCCAACTTCCCTCTTTATCTGTAAATTGAGTTAAATTAATAAAGTAAAAAATAAAGCAATACATTTTAAATTTTTTTATTTATTTATTTTAAATAAATTTATTTATTTAAAAAAAAAAAAAAAAAAAAAAAAAAAAAAAAAAAAAAAAAAAACATCCTTTAACCTGTAAATGTGTAATGTAATCTAAATCAAATATATTATATCTGATAGAGATTATGTTTGAGTTTTTATCTTATAGTACCTGAAGAATTCGTTTAGCATTGTCAACAGCTCCTCGAACAAGGCTTATATCTATACCAGAATCAGAACTCACTGACGTTATCTTTCTTTCACTAAATTTAGCCACAACATCTGCATCAAATCCTGAAAAGGACTCCCTGCATAAAGAAATACTGCATTTGGTAAGATTAAGAACAAAGTAGCTATATTATTGGTTTCTTTCAATATTTCTAGGACTAAGAAGAGTAATGGAATTTTGAAATCACACCCACCTCAAAGCTTGCCTTTTCCTCAGGACTGAAGTCCAATCTGATCCAACTTGAGCACCAGTTAACACCAGCAATTCAAGCAACAGACTGCAAATATGACACAAGCAAATTAGCTATTTAGCTTAAGAAATGTATGTGTGTTTGTGAGAGAGAGAGGGATGAGAGAGAGAGAGAGAGAGAGAGAGAGAGAGAGAGAGAGAGAGAGAGAGAGAGAGACTTACTTGTCATCATGGACAGGAACTCCCCATTCTTCATCATGGTAAGCAACATATATAGGGTCTGCAAACAAGTACACCACAAACACATTATTCAAATGTCTTATAAACTTCCACAATCTGTCGACAACATAACCTTGTCTGTTAAGCTGCATACCTGAGTTAGGTGTGATAAAAGTACACCGCCTTTGGTCTCTACCAAAATCAGTTGTAGCTGAAGCATCAAGAGGAATCACTTTCCCTTCATTTTTGGCAGACTTGGTTCTTCCATAATGGGCAATTCGCATCTTTCGTTGTTCTTGCATTGTTGCAACTTGCTCCCTCCTTGCAGCTGCTATGCTTCCTGGTGCCTCCACTATCAAAGAGGATATATTTTTCAATATACTTTCAGCAGAAGGTGCAGCAGCTACAGAGCCACTAGACTTCTTTGACTTTTTCACAGAACTTGTAAACTTGGTTGTGCACCGAGGTGTCACAACCTTCTCAGCACTAGAATTCAGCTCATTTGGATCTTTTCCTCTCTTGAATGCAGGTGGTCTAGGTGAAGGCAACTTGGGAGAGATGGGAGGAGAAAGAGAGGCCTTAGTTTTAGCACTTGGTAGAGGTGAAGGCAGAGGAGTTGGAGCAAGAGGTTCTTGGGAGCTCTTTTTAAGAGACTTCCTTTGTTCCAAGCTTGGAAATTGATTGCCAGTTGGCTGGAGAACCGGACGCCGATTCATCTTAGGTGTTGATGGAGGAACACTAGTGGTTCTTTGCAATTTTGGTTTAGAGGAACACATTTTATTTGATCTTTGTGTTGAATATGAAGAACAAATGATGAGTTTGGTGGGGAAGGAAAGAGAGGAGGAGAAGATGAAGAAGCTCAAGAATTTAAGGAGAGCTTAGGAATGAAGTGGGGGATTTTATAAGACAAAAGTGGGGACATGGCACAAGTTTGGCTAAGTTGTAACATGGGGGGGTTGGGGTCTGCCATACACAACCCTCTTGTGAGGGGCAGGGGCAGCACAACTTTTTGGGGTCTGTGAGAGCATAAGCTTGAAAACGACACCATCCGAACTAAGTCTAGAGATTATAATTGTTATTTTGATGAAGCAAAAGAAATTGTGGGGATAGTTTTGTGGTGGCATTGCCAGCCTTCTCAGGGACCCTCTTTTTTCCCCACACTTTGTGCCTTTACTGCTCAGTCTCCATGCGTCCTCAATCCCAAGTTGAAGGAGTGGGGTCCATGAGAGTAACCAATCATTGCTCTTCTCTTTTGAGCTGGATGAAAAGATCTCAAGATTATGATATGCTAATCAAACTGTAACCAACAGTGCCTGGCTTGACTAAGACATATCAGTTTGAGCTCTTCAAACTAAAATAGTTTAAAGTTCTTTGAAGGCTTTTTAGTTTTTATTATATGATTTAAAAATAGTAATTAGTATTTATAAGCAGGTTGTTTGTCTGTTGGTCAAGTAGGTTTTCATTTCTTATCTCAAACTTTAAGTCAAAACCTAACTCATCATAATGACAGAAGTTAAATTATTAACACAGCCAATGGGTTGTGCAGATTTTCCACAGAAAATAAAAAGAACTCAGAGAATAATTTGTATGATCAAAGATGCCTGCAACCTGTAGTTGTAGACAACATAATTACTTGAGTGATTTGAAGTAGTAAATTACTTGCATAATTAGGCACTGGGTCCTACTCATTTGGGCAGGATGAATGATAGCCATCAAATAGTTCAGTAACTTCCAACTGCATCCAACATGCAACATGACTGAATTAATAATAGTAAATATGGCCATAGACTGGCTGACTTTGAAGAATTTTTATGGCATTTGAATCTGTAGGCTGATTTGAAGTGGTTCCCAACATGTATGTCATCTGCAGTTGAACTTGTTGGATGAGCCTTAAACACATTCCTATCAAGTGTCTTCTCTCAATCCATCACACGTATTTCAAAGAATTTGGAAGAATTTGTCAAAGTGAAAAACTTGGGTGGCATATAAAAACAAGAAATCATGCAGGGTTGTTCAAGAGAAGAAGCAACCATTTAATATTTATTAATAAAAGCAAGGATCTCTCTCAGACCAGAGGCAGCAGAATGGAAGGAAAAACAAAGGGTAGGTGAAAAAAGTCACTCTTGACATGATCCTAGATTGAACCCCTCATGAACTCCTAATTTTTTTTTCTATCACATTTTTGTTGCTTTTATTTTATATTAATTTCCCTGGCAAATAAAGAAGTAGCCAAAATTTGTTTGTTGGGGTTGAGCTTAAAAAATGATGTGACTCACCATAGGCTTAGCATTTAGGGTTGGAATTATTTTCCACCCATATAGGTGTAGGAACTATAAGGTATAGATGGTTTGGTTTACTAGATGCTGGTAGTTATAGTATTTGTAACAGAATAATTTTCTATAGTAATTAAATCAATATAAATTCTTCAATCACAATCACAGGATAACAAGCCATGTGTTTTGAGTCACCTATAATGATGGAGATTTGTGAATCGACAAAAATTAGGCAAACAGACAGGGATGATGTACATTTGCCTCGAGTCACCTCTTTGTCTTATTAATTAGGACAGAAACCAACATTATCAATACTTCATTATTTTCTCTTCCTTCATAATTTATTTAGACTATTCTCTCTCATATCAAACTAAAAAATGAATCCAAATGATATAGGACAATGATTGACTGATACTGAGTATCGATCTACAGTACTTGATACATTGTCGATATATCGAACAATGTAATAACTACTGTACCTAACAGTAACTCTGTTGCATCCAATAGTAGAAAATGCATGCGTACAAAAAAGTTCATGACAAAAGAGGCGGTTTTAGGCATGCTATGGTGAAGTGTCACAGGGGGTGAATGGCAATTGTAAGGCAATGCAAGAAAGCGAAATAAAGCAAGAACACAACAGTAAAACGTCAAGGCTGCATGTAACATGCCTCCAGGATCCATAGCTGGAACTCTTTTATTTCTGAGAATGATAGAGGGAACACTTTCAGACATTTTTCCAAATCCAATTGGATCATGATAAGGTTGTGATGGGATCTTCCTTATTGTCTTGGAGGGAGTAAATCAATACCCAAATTGCATTATTGTTCGTACGAAAATCAAATGGTGAAGTTGTCTTACCCCTTGGCTTGGAATAGCTAGGGTTTAGAGACATGTTGTCACGAGAAACCTCGCACAATGTACCCCATCTATGATTGGATTGGACCAATAATAATTCCTATCAAACCCCTTTCCGAGTTTCTAGTACTTTGTGGGGGATAGGCTAGAGGGAAAGAGAGCTGTTGTTGATCATTAAATATGTTGAAGTGCCCTCCAATATTTGGCTCAATAAGCATGTAAATTATAGCCAAATCTAGCAATTTGAAAACCATGATGTTGTTTATAATAGAATTGGTAACTTCAAATTTGTTTCCTCGCTAAGTGTCAAAAGAATATGTTCAAAACTGAAGATTGTCATCACTTGAGACCACTTGGTTCTTCTTACTTTAGCCTAATTAGTGAATAAATCTGTTGAAAAAATAGAGCAGAAAATAACAAGAAAAATTTATAATAAATTAATAATGGATGCCTTGGCCTGCATGATGAGTTGTTAGGGAGGCACTCTTAATTACATTGAAAGGAAAGGGGCTTAGTTGCCCTTGTCCTCGTGTCTATCTCCACGTATGTGCTCCTCCTAAGATGTCGACCTTGGTGCTTTCGTGAAGAAGACCAATCCGTGAAGAAGAAAATAAATAAATATCTGGTCCACAGGTAATTTAAAATATATACAGTTTGATCAACCATGTGCAGATGCAGCAAAAATAGACAACGAACATGGGCTCATAGCTATACCATTTGAAGCAGCTAGAGGTTGGAAATGATTGTTCTTCAACACATAGAACAGAAAAGATAATGTAAAATATAAGGCATCTTCTTTGGTTACTTTGCACGTAAAAAGGTAAAAGTTCCCAGCAAGATCCTATAATTTTGTTATTCTGTTTGTTTCTGCGAATTGGTAAGCAAACCTTCACATCATAATTGTGGGAACCGAATTTTAGCCAAACCCTAGGTCAAATATTTCCTTCCATTTGAGGATTATTTGATTCAATTGGCAATTATTCGATTCTTACCCTAATTAGGAATTTGATTTAAATCAAATCCCTAATTATGTCAATCTCTCCAAATTGGGAAAGAATAATTCCTTTATATATGTGTAATTATTCTTCCAAAACCCTAGCCTCCGAGGCTCCTATAAATACATGGCTAGTACACCAAGGCTTGAGGTAATTCTAAACCTACGTCTAAACTTCTGTCTCAAAATACTGCAGAAATTCTATCTCCAAAACCCTAGCCGCCATAACTCTTTCTCCCACACACAAGGCTCCGGCCACCACACATGGAGACAACGAAGAGAAAAACAGGAATCTTAGACGAATATTCTCGTGGGACGAAATTTGCTCCCACAATAATCATACACTAGAACAGTAAAGTTACACCAACCATTGTACTTGGTTAGGTTGATAAGGAAAAGATTTACTGGGCTTGATTGAATGCTTGGCAGGCATTATGAAAAGTAGAGCTTGTTATTAGTTGCTTCCATAAGGTTTGTTTATTTACGCTCTTTTACCCTTACAAGAAATATGAACTCTTGCAACGGGGAGTCTCATGTAAATTTATAAATACATTTTAGATCGGTTGATTACAGCAACCTTGACGTATATGCGGTATCCGTCAGGTACTGTTTTGATCTGCAGAAAAAGTAAAATTTACAAAAATGAAAAGTAGACAATAGTTCATATCTCTTATCATGGTCAGTTCAGAACAAGAATCTGTTTGTTAATGTAGACAGATATAAAGAAAGCATGTTTCCTAAAAGAGGCGCCTTTTTTGTTTTTCAAATTGTATATAAAAAGATGAATAGAGAGTTTGTTAGTTCCGGTCTCTCCTCAAAAAACATACACAAGAGTATATGTGGAAAAGAGAAACCAGGTATGATGTTCCATGACTTGACATTTACAAAAATGAAATGTAGACAATAGTTAAGATGAATAAATTAGCTTCCTCTTCCAGTGTGTGCTTCACTATGTTGATTTTCAGAAAGAAAGACGGTCCTCTGAAGCAAGAACTCGTTCACCAGGCATCAGCAGTCTAATAATCCATGTGTGCCCTCACGACATCCACAATCGGAGCTCGACATATCGGACATTTTCCGTTGTTCCATTGCAATTCATGAGCACACTTGAGGCAGGTGCACATGTGCCCACACCTGCAAAATAAGAAATTATATCTCAACAGATGAGTAAAGCCAGCACAAATTAAAATGAAGAATTGAAATTCAGATGGGAAGCCTTAGCTTCACAAGCAAGTTACCTGTACAAAAGTGAGTCGACTTTCACTTCATGGCAAATGCAGCAATTGCCTTTCTTTGGTAACCCATTAGATGACCGTTTCCTCTCTGCTTGACCTGTAATATAGTTGCACAGTTTGCTGTCAAGAAACTGGTAGAACATAAGGAATGATGCAAAATCTATGCAGAAACTCACTGTTTTAGCCCGGTATCATAGATTCGCAAGAATAATTAAAACTTTTCTAAAAGACCAAAGTAAATCTTAAGGGTCAAAACAAGTACAAGAGTAAGGATGTCATTAGTGCCTCTTCAGTGGTTCCTTGATAGTGCATTGGAACCAAGTTGTCTGGTATTCTTTTTAAACTGAATTGAAGAGATATTTTAGGGCGAACCGAAAGAGATTTCAAAACAGACCTGAATGAACTTCCTGCTTAATGGA